GTTGAAAGAGTAAGATTTTAGTTAAAATTCTCGATTTAAATCTTTTCGATCAATTTCATTCTTATAAAGTATTCCAATTTCCAGAATAGTTCATTTGCTTTCGAATTATTTTTTGATATGTAATATTAATAATTATTCGATCATTATGTATCATTAGATTCTTAAGAGTGAATGACTCCATCTCAACGAACCTTGATTTTGAACAATCTTCTCGATTTATACTATGAGTGGATAAAAAATAACATATTATGTTTTTAAAATTTTTTGATATATCTATCATACATCATTGATTAAATTATAGAATAATCATATTCATTAGAAATTAGACGGAATCGACTTTTTGTTTATTTGAAATGTTTTGATATCAAAAAATGATTTGATATGATTCTAAGAAAAGTTGATTATGCATTTTGAAAAAGTGTTTTACTTGAGGTTTGATTTAATGCTATGGATTTAACATGGAAAATGATTATGAGAAATATTAATTATGTATTTTATTATGATTATGCGATTTGAATAAGTGTTTTTCTTAAAGTTTGATTTAATTCTATAGATTTAATGACTTTAATTTAGATACTTGATTATGATTGTATTCATATAATTTAAGTAAGTATTTGATTTGTAAGTTTAAATATGAATTTGTATATGTGTCATTATGATGAAATAATAGTTTGAGATGAAATTATGAAATATTGACTAATTAAGTTATTATATTATGAATTGAATGGGAGTTGTGTTAGAATCTTGATTATGGATATTATTTTGAGAAATACAAGAATACTATGAAATTACTCGTTTGTACTTGGAGTTATAAAGTTTTGACTATTAAGTTGTAATATTGTAAATTTGAAATGATATTTAATATGCGATAAGATTGAGAATTATAGTTTAGATATTCAAGGTTTGCTTGAGTCAAGGTGGGTCTTATGGCTCCGTGATTCTCGTGCCGACCATGGCTCACTTCGGGGTTCATGAAAAAGTTAGTATCGAGTATAGGTTTCATACTCTAGGGTAACTACGAGTATAGTGTCACGAACTTAGCCTTTTTTAAGCTTTCATGCGACATTTGGCTCATTTTTTCTTTAAGCCAAACCAAGTTAGCCTTCTCCATATAAAGTTATCAAGCAAAAAAGACACATATAAGAGATATAAGAACTCTTTGTATTGCTCTCTCTAAAGTTTACAACTCTAAGATTACACTTCCTTAGATTTCGGATGTCCGGATATCTTGACCAAATAAAGACCTCACCTATTGATAGTCCTCCACCTCTTCGATTGATGGCTATGATCTATTTGATCTAATGGCTATAATTGACATTCTAGAATTATCCCATCTAGATATTTTCAAGAAACTATCTAGATATGTAAATGCTAGAATAATGAGAGACTCTCTCTAAAATTCTCTACGACATATCTAGATTTCTCTTGAACATCTTAGAGGCTTCTTCATTGTTCCATACTCTTCAGATACTTCCAAACTTATCTAGCATTCCTAATAACCTTTAAAAAAATCTCTCTTTTGAGCGGGGCATAACATTCTCCCTCACTTAATTGGGTGACGTCCTCGACGCACCTTTATTATGCTCTTATACCTTCCATGTGAATTACCATAAGGCTTCGAGCAAGTTTCCGACTAGCCTCGCTTTCTAGTAATCCCTTTCATTTCATATAATACTCCTTCGTTGGTGGCATTCTATGGTGTCCGATTATGTGATCATCAAGTATGATATCAATTTCTTTGTCATACGAGTCAACCACTATTATAGGCACCATATGAGAAACTTCTTGGCTTAAATCCTCCTCATATGTATGGTATGGCTTCGGTATATTAACATAAAATACTCGGATGGATCTTTAGCTTCGGTGGTAACTCTAGACGATAGGACACTTCTTTCACTTTGTGCACTACCTCGAATGGTCCTTTATATCGATGTATGAGGCCTTTGTGCATCTTTTGGAATGCCTTATATTATTATGGTAGCAACTTCACCATCACTTTGTCACTTGATTGGAAGGTGATGTCTCTTTTTTCTTATCGACCCACTTTTTCATCTTCTAGAGGAGTAGTTGCGTAAGAGGATCAAGAAAGAAAGGGCTAAGGAGTTTAAGAGACTAATTCAAAATTCTAACATGATGTTTTAAAGTATGAGAGGAGGTTTGTAAAGTTGTCATTATGCTCTAGAAATGATACCGACTAAGGCAAAAAAAGTGAAAAGATTTGTAAATGGATTAGTAGATTCACTTTTCATAGTTATATTCCTCAAAAATTTCAAAGTTATTCTGAAATAGTTGGTTGTGCTTATAAGCTTGAAATGAGAAGAATTGAGAACAAGACAACAAAAGAGAAAAAGAAACAGAGTTAAAAGTGATGTCTTATCATCTAGTGGGCATAAAGACCATGGTGGCGGGTCTAACGAAGATGTTAGTATGCTTAGTTATTTTAGCTCCTAGAGGAAGTTTTCTAGACATAGTGGTCACGGTAGGTCACATATGAGCATAAGTTAAGGATCATCTCATTCGATTCATCAAGGTTTTAGTAGGGGATATTCTGTTTATTGAATCCGTGGGAAGGCTCATCGGGATGTATGCTCTTGGAGACCGGGACATGTTTTTATTGTCATTAGTAGGGACATCGGATTCAAGATTATCCAAGGTATAAGATGGCATAGGGAGTTACTTAAGGGGTGTGCAAGTTTCACCCGTGACTAGCTCATTCCCAAGATAGTATGGTGACGGATCCGATGGCCAAACAAGTCGAGGGTTTGGTGGCGAGCATAGCTAGGTCGAGGATAGGCTAGTAGGGATTATGGAGGTTCGGGAGGTTAGGATTAGGTTAATGTTAATGGCAATCAAGCTCGAGCTTTTTCATCATCCAACAGGATGCTCAAACATCCAATGCTATTGAATCAAGTATTCTTTAGGTATTTCTTTATGATGCTAGAGTATTGTTTGATTAAAGGGCAACGGATTCTTTTTATCACCTTATTTTTCCAAGAGATTTGATATGAGTCCATGCATGTTAGAGCAATATTTAATGGTGTCAACTCCTATGAGAGAATGTATGATATTTGATATGATGTATAAAAATTATGATGTATGGGTGATGAGTAGAAATAATTTCAATGTTTACGTGATTATTTGGATTATCCGTTAATTAAAAAATGTGCAATTTACAAGAAAAACTCTACCAAAATTTTGTTTGTTTTTTATGAAAATAATTTATAATATATTTTTAGTTAAATTGTTATTCATCTATTGTATTTATTAAACTATTTTAGATGTTATTCTAAAGTTATGCCTCATGGATTAGGCGGATCCGATAACGAGGCTAGTGCTCGTGGCTCTAATAGCAATAGTGTCCGTGGTCGTAACACCGATATCGGCCATGTTCATGATCATGTCACCGTACGTGGATGTGGAATTGCTGGGGTCCGGGCTTAATAGTGGTGAAAACACGTTTACATCCCTACTAGTAATACCCCCGTCGATAATGCTCCTAGCTACGAAGGTCCTCGTGATGGTTTCCTCACCTCCAGTAAAGCTTTATTGAATTTGATACTAGACGGACCATTAGGATCATGAATAACTGATAAGTAATATGCTTTGGATATTGTAATTAATTTTATCTTTTCATATATTATATTGGAATCATTAATTCACTTGTTTATTATTTATTTATTTTGTTCGACAACTTGGTTCCGTTAAGTGCTTCACAAAAATCACTATAATTTTTAAGGAGTGATTAGACGTTGCCGACTCCATATGGACATCTCCATGGAGATGAAAGACTTCACTTTAATGAGTTTAGAGTAACATATTAATTATTTATTTATATTTCATTTAAAGTACTAATTTAATATAAAATGTACTAATATTATTTTTTTCTTCATGTAGAAGTATTTTGTATGGGATGTGGTCATTGACGACCTAATTAAAGATGCGTAGGAGCGTCCGGCACGAATGTGATATGACGATATGTTGAACAAGCTAAAGCATAAGACTAACGGACTCGTGTATGTTAAACAATGGGTGTAAAAAGCATGGCATCGAGATTGGGTCACACCTGAATTTTAGGCTGGATCTTAATAGGTATCTCGGAATTGCATGTTGGAGAAGGATGGTGTCGGTGTTGGCTTATCCAGGCATATGGGAGGGTTCATCTCTTTGATTGAGTACACTTAACGTATGATAAATCTTATTATTCATTGTGTTATCAATACCCAACAACCGGAAGATGATGCAAGAGATGATGAGGACTAGATTTCTTATTATTTTTTTAAGGTTTTTAATATTTTCGTACACCTTAATGCATTTATATATTTATTTAAGTTTTATTTATATTATTTTAATTTTATTAAATAATATATCATGTTTTAATAAGATGTTATTTTTAGTTGTTTGTTACTACAATTAATATTAAACGATTATTAATTTATGTAAAAAAATTCTTTTTTTAGCGACCAAAATACAAAAGCTAAATCTCTTTGCGACGGATACATATACGGTCGCTAAATAATAATGGATTTAGCGATAGATATTCTGTCGTTAGTTAGCGACAAAAATAGCCTATTAGAGACTCGTTTTGTGATAGATAACAAATTGGGAAGACGGCTATTTACTTCATTTTAGTTACGAAAATTCTATGAATTAGTGACAAAAAAATAATTATGTCGCAAACAAAATAGCAACGATCACATTTACTACTAAAAGTATATTGTTGCAAGTCCGTCGTTAAAGCTAAATAGCTATGGATATCGATGATATAACGACAGAAAAATCCGTCAATATTTTCCAGTTTTCTTAAAGTGCACCCAGCCTCACTTGATTAATGAAAGAACCTTAATTTCTTAAAAAAAAAAAACACTTATTATTACTTCAAAACTTTGAAGTTCAATAGAGTGATTACAAGTAATTTCACCAGTTGCTGTACATGTTTTTGTACCCACAACAATACTTCAAAACAATTTATTTCCAACCTAGAACTAGAATTGATTGAATTTTCATGAATTAATGATTGTACAGTCTGTCCTGATCCTTCCTTGGCTACCTGTCTTAACTCCCACCCTTCCAAGCTTTCTCATAGCAGTGCCAAAAGCTCCATTAAAATCCCCCGGGTTCTTAGCAAAATCATTGACAGTTGGCTGAGAAGCTGGATTACTAAACAGCACCTCATCTGAAGTGAATAATCCTTTACCAGCAACCAAATTTTGGAAATACACATTGTCAAATGTTCGTGGGGTTACAGGGTCCATGTCAATGGCTATGCTGGGGTCTACGTTTCTAGGACAGGCATCCATCAACTGCTGGGCATACTCTGCATTTAGAGAAGGGTCAACAGGAGAGGATGAGGAGAACGAGTAGAGCCGATTTGCAAAGCGGTTGCAATGGGAGAAGCCGAGTGTGTGGGCTCCTGATAGTGCAATCATATCAATCTGGCTAAGGTTGTTTCTCCCAAACATAGAGTTAATTTGAGAAAAAGTCATGTCAGGTTCTGGCAAACTCCCTTTTACAAGTGATGCTCGAGAAACCATGCCATCGCGACGTCCTAATTCTACGTTGAATGAAGGACCTCCAGCCTGAGTTTTGATCACATCAAACACAAAGCTTAAGTTAGTTTCTGATTTGAAGTGGAAATACTAGAACAACTGGTATAGTTTGTTTGTGCATTCCTTACCAGGACTACGACATCCCTAGCAGCTATAGCTAAAATGTCTGCACAGGAAACTACTTTGGGGCAAGCTGCCTCCACTGCTTGCTTTGCCTTCACTACGGTATCAAATCCGTCTCCTGCAAGGGAGAGATTGTCTTGAGCATCCTTCTCTGCGTCTCCATTTGGTGAAGAAACCATGATTGAAGCATCACAACCCTGTCAGATTGCAAATAGAACAGCTACAACAATTAATAAATAGAAGTCGGAAGTATTGAAAGCTTCGTTGAAATCAGCAAACAATTCATCTAGAGAAACAATTGGGATACTAATAGAACATCCAAACTCCTATTGTTTGAAGTTTTATTATTGGCAAGCTCTTGGGACGTAATTAAGTATTTCAACAGTCTTTCATGGCATGATGCCTTAGTTTTTTAGACCTTCCCTTTCTGACATGGTGGCACTTGACAATAGAACTTAATTTTCTTCAATGAAATTATAAATAAATAAATAAATTATGATTACATCCTTTTCAGGGTTCCTTTACCTGCTGATGTCAAAATAAATCAATAGTTGAAAAACGAGACATGCCAAATTAATAACTTGTGTTTTTTTCTGTTAGTCTTCTAGTCAAATGGTTTTAGCTACTTCCATGTAATAGCCTCCAATTGTGACCTATTCCAATACATAACCAGCAGCCAAAAAGCCAAAAGCATATTCATACTGGGCAAAAATATTAGAATCAAAACAGCACCAAAACCAGAAACAAAAGTTTAACTACAATTGTGCATGTCCAATGACAGAAGACATCTTTCCCTAGCTATGAACATTCAGTATTATATGCATGTTCATGTATTGGATATACAATAATACGACGATAATTAGTGCACCAAGATGATCATTTATAGGGCTTGGACATGCAATTAAAAGGCATTAGGCTCAGCATGCACCAGTCATGGATGATGGATGATTAACAGATAGTGCAGATGTATTAAAGAGTATCAATTTGTTTACTATTACAACGATCTTGACAGGTTTGAATTACTCATGTTTATTGAGAGAAAAATAGTTGCGTAAATTGACTGGCAAATCATATTTTCTCATTGCCATTAGGTTTACATCTATTTTCAAGTATTCCCCGAGTGCTTTTCTATTGTTTTAGAAGATATATATTGTGTAATTTTCGTAGAATTTTTCTATAAACTCTCCATTCAATAAAGACGAAAAAGAAAAAGAAAAAAGAAAAATCAATACCGTACCGTAACAAAGCAGTCATGAAAAAACATACGAAGAGTTGCTGGGATGGTGGTAAATGTCTGGCTAAGCTTATCGGAAACTGCCTTCTTCACTAAAGCTTCCACGTTAGGACAAGTATTTCTGTAGAAGTTTTCTACTAGCTGTCCCTCTCCCCTCCCTATCGCCATGATCAAAACCATCATCAGCAGAAGCATATTATAACCTCTCTCCATTTCCTCCACAAGCTAGCTATACAATTAATCACCTCTCTCTCACGAACACTCCGAAAGCCAAATGTGTTTGTTTATATAGATGAAATAGAGGGAAAAGGAAATACTTAAGAACGCTTCCACCCTTCAAAATAGTACTATTAGAGACAAGTTCCTTTCTTTGAACACGTCCATACATGTAGAGCATATAAGGATTCAAATACTATTCTAGTCATCTTCTTGTCGTAATTTAGCTTGTGGTAGGACAAAAGTCCTTTTCGTCTGCGACCACCTATCCAATAAGATACAGCCATATCATCTTCATTATCTCAAATTTAACATGCAACACTAGTACTAGCCATGGAAAATTCTACAATATTATTCCCAACCACCGACGATATTATATTAATTCTTGCTAATTCTCCAATGCTCGAAAGGACCTTGCTCTGGTTTTTTTTTTCAAAAAAAAAAAATAGACTTACTCTTCTCTTATTATAGATAGGTACGTAGGTATGTATCTTACTAATTAAAATAATACGCATTGCAATAAACAACACGCTATCATTGTGTTCAGGCTAGTTCTGTTAGGTCATGTTACATGAGTAGGAGTAGCAGTGCTCTTCTTAATTCTTTGTTTGAGTCCTACAAGTAAGTTCTAATGTCTAACACCATATATTCCATTTCGATCAGTTCGTTGAACGGGTACAGCTGATGCCATTCATTTTCATTAGCTGTTGCTGTTTCTAGATGAGATTAGGCCTAAATGCACCTTCCTCGCACGCCACTTAGATATGAAAATGACACACTAACAAATCCCCAATATTCCAATGACAGAAAGATATACATTCACACATGATGCTTAATTTGCTAGGAAAAGCGACAATATGTGTAAACTTAACCGTTTAAGAGCCTATAACCCAATGATAGTGATATCTTATAATAAAAGATTACGATTCAAATCTTAACAGATTAATTCTATTAAGAATTTTAAGTATGTGATTAATAAAAAAAAAAATTGTGTAAACTTCATCTCAGATGATAATGGGTCAAAGGTTCAGTGAATGATTAAATTATTTAGTATTTGGATTTCTTCAAATATCCTACAGCTCAAGACAGCAGTTTTTCCCAAGGACACCAAGTCTCAACTTTGAGAAGTTCAAATTGGTTTAGATTGCCAAGTCATTAGTCACATTCCTAGTTATCTTATTATTGTTATTATTAACACAACTTGTAGCAAGTTGTACCAAAAAAAAAATAATAATAATAATAAAATAAAACAACCTGGACCAAGTGCTTATTATTATTATTATTTTCATATAATCAATTATTACCAAGTCTTTTAAAAAAATTTATATACTCCAATAATTTAATTTTAATTTCCATATAACATGATCATTCTCTCTCTATATATATATATATGTGTGTGTGATGATGAAACGGGTTGGCAATAACGCAACGTGGCATGCTGTAATTAATCGTGCAAAAGAATATGATGCTAGGCAGTACATTTCTTTACTCTGTGCTTACTGCTTTATTACAGGTCACAACAAAAAAATAGGCGTTGACCATTTAATTGAAAAACTATAAAATGGGAACTTAAATATTAACGACGTCATGAGGGCTGCAGTGCTAATATTTAAATTCTTCCACAGTGCAACCAAATTATGAGAAATAAGAACAAATCTGGATTGGTAGGAAATTAAAATCTGTCGACAATATTTTATTCTATTGATCCAAAAATCAGCATGGATCGTGCAAACATTTCTTTTGCTTTGATCACAAACTCATTTTTCATTATATTAATAAAAGTCCAAATCATATTCCCAAGTATATTCGGTTGGAAAATTTCACAGTAACTCTATTCCCTTTGAAACTTTTCTTTTCATGAAAACTTGATAAAGTTTCAACCAATAACCATGCAGAGTTAAATATTTTTCTTCAACAATATTCCAACTCCAGATATGAGTAGTTCAATACAATATTTCATGCATTTGCATTCTTTTAGTCCCATATTTTTTTTCTAAATCAATCTTATCCCAGACATTTACAAACCTGCTTAGTTGTAGAAATAGTTTTTTACTTTCTATCTCTGATTTTCTTTTCCATTTCTAATTTTTATTTTTTGTGGAGAATGTAGAAAATGTGTTCATTGGTAAATTTAAAAAAAAAAAATTCTATTTTGAAAATTGTAAAACATGCTAAAAAAAAAAGTAATAATTCTAAAATATTTTATATGTTTTTACATACATGGTTATTTATTAAACTTTTCATGATTTTTTTAATAAAGTCATTCTAATAGAGTTTAATATATTTTTATGTAATAAATTACATAAATGTGTTATCATCCCACTTTTGAACCCTTTTATTTTATAATTTTTTTCTAAAAAAATAAATAAATAATGTCATTATTAATTTTTTTAGTTGCTTGATTTTACAAATTGTTACCTTTTTGTAGGACTTTTAGGAGTTTCATGGTTCTTGTGAGTTTAGAGAAAATTAACAAAAAGAAGAAAGAAAAAGGAAAGAAAATAAAATAGAAGATGGAATTTGGGACTAATTTAAAAAAAAAAAAGAAGTAAGGACCAAAAAATCTAGTTGGAGATATAATTGGAAGAGATGAAAATAGGAGGAACTTAATTAAAGGAAAATAGAGGTTAAATTCAAAGGAATGAAAAGAAAAAGGACTAAAGAAGTGTAAGCTGTGGAGTAGGATTAAAATAAAATGAAGAGTTGCGGACAAAAATTAAAAACAAGGCATATAATAGGGGATCAAATTGAATTTTTTCCCATAACCTTAAAAACTTCACTTTAAAAGTCACGATTATTCTCTCTCCTAAAAGGGATGGCATCCATTTCTCTCCCAAAATCGATGGGTGCATAATTCAAACAACTTTTATACTCTTTTACATTAAACTTATTATTGCTCATTGTATTATGTTAAGATAAACAAGAACAAAATAACGATTTTGGATTTTTGTATGAAAATGACAAATCAAAGCAAATAAACCCAAACTAAAGTGCATAAGAAGCTAAAGCCATAAAGAAAGCAAAGAAGTGTGACCTACAAAAGAAAAAAGCTACTAACCATGTGAAATAAAAGAAGAATCAATGTGGATGTTTAGCAAAGAAAACACACGGGCATTGGCAATCTACATGACTTGAGTAAGAGAAGTGACACATCCGTGTGTGTCAAGAATGAGATGTCTTCCAAGGAAAAAGAAACAACACACAAGTAGAACCTAAAGAACAAATCAAGCATGACCATGTGCCTCAGCCTAGTAAGCCATGTGATACCAGCTTTTCAATGCTCCAAACTGTGTGAAACAAAAGAGCAAATCATGTTAAACAAAAGAACAAGCCGTGTGACCACGTGGGGCTATCATGTGTGTATTGTAACCCTACCTTTTGTTATAAATAGAAAAGTTAGGATTTTACTTCATTCATTCTAAGGATCCCCCTATTCCTGTAGCACCATAGATGAAAATTCTCTCTTGTAAGCAAACCATATATCACTAAGAATCTTTCTTGGTTGAAGAAAAATAAAAACCATTGGTAAAATCATTATGAGATCTAAATGAGTTTTATCTCTAATCCTATTTGTTTGAGTATTTTATGTTTTTGTATATTATTTGAATATGGTTGTATGGTTGATTGATTAGAGTGCACGTTAATTGATTAATCATTATAATCTATTGCTAGCTAAATATTCAAGTTCATAATTTCTTGTTTAAACTTTCTTGTGGTAGCAACTAAAGGTTAATGATTTTAAATGGGTTTTCGTTTAATCTCTTGAAAAACATAAAACTAGATTAAATTCTTCTAACGTCGAAGATGATTGTTTAGCTTCACCTATCTTTCTATCATTTAATGTTGTTATTGGATTAAATCTAGATAGCATCTACTATGTTATTCAATTGTTAAAAAAATTAATCAAATAGTGTCTATTTGGTTAAGGAATAATTAATAAAAAATTGGGGATAACATATATGTTAATATGTTACGGTGAATATTCATATTGAGAATGGATTAATATATAAATCGATGATCAACGATTGAATCAAAAGTGAAGATCAACCTTCAACCAAGGCTTTTATTATTATTGTCAACTCTCTATTTACTTTTGTACCTTTACTACTCTCAACAAACCAAAACCCCTATTTTTCTTCATTTTATTTTGAAATAATCGGAAGATAAAGAAAATTGATTGAATCATTTCTTTGTGGGATCAATCCCGACTTGCATTAACTACGGCTTTGTGATTGGATTCGATGAGGAAAATAAAATAATCAAATTTATTGACGAGTACAACATGTCATCAAATTTATTGACGAGTACAATATGTCATCAAATTTTGGCACTATTGTTAGGGAGGTTAGGTTCAAATTGATTGTTTCTTAACATTCTAACTATTGTTTATTGTTTATATCAAGTTTATGTATGACTAGATCTCATAGAAATGATCTAATCTTTAACCTTGAACCCGAAAGAACATTTTGCAAGTTGAGGAGAGAAGCTAGATAAGCTTCAATAGAGCGAATTGAAACATCCGAAAGAGTACCTGTCGTTTCACCAAACATACTTACAGCTTCTTGAGTTTTTAGGATTAATAACGTGTCCTATGTCAAATAAAAAACCAGCACATATTGTGAGATCAAATTCATATAACATAAGGATTAAAGACTAATACCAATTTGATTTCTTGTTCCAACAAGATATATCAAATAGCTTTCAAATTAACTTAAAATTTTTTTTTTATCAAACATCTTTTTTGTTAGCTTCCCAAAAGCATTTAATAAAAACCTAAATTTCTTTTTACCAAATGCACACTTAATTGTTTAAAAATCTAAACTTTAACTCAGCTCACATGTAACACAGCATTGGATTAATAGCATATGACATGAAAGCGTGATCCATGCCTTGCTAGGTCGAATGCTCAAGATTAATTGGGCCGAATTGTTTTCATTTATTTTTTTTTATTATGCATTGTTTTTTTTTTTAGATATTTTATTTTATCATATATTTTTTTTATAAGAATTCTTATTTCTGTTTGGAGTTTATTTTAGTTCTTATTGAGTTCTGATTTGGACTAGGTTAATATTGTCAAATGAGCTTAAGTTGTTGATGTTTGAATGGCTTAGGGTTATACCCCTAGTTGGCCGATTTTTATACTATTATATTTAAGCATCCTTATATAATATGGATATACAAAATATTTTGATGATTAAATAAACTTTGTAAAAATTTTCCTTCAATTTTGAGTGACTCTTGTGATTTTCTTAGAATTTGTGTTTTGTATCCTTAAATTAATATCTCAATGTAGTTCTGTTAATTATTATTAACTAAGGTTGTAGTATGATTCTAAATCTCATCAAAATTGACTAAAACTAAGATTACTTTGTTGTTGGAGTTTTGGATTTCATTAAGCATGGGTTTGATTGCTTTGGTTTTGACTTATTCTTTACAAAATTGATGTAAGCATATCCTATGTCAATTAGAAAAATAACACCTATTATGAGATCAAACCCTAAAGACATAAGGATTAAAGACTAATACTAACTTGGTTTATTTATCCAACAAGATTAGATATATCTAATCCAACATAAAAATCAGTTCCTTTTAAATTTGAATGAAAAACACCTTTTTAAGTTCATGCATAGAAAGTAAAATAAAGTATTTTGAACACAAACATTGTCAAAGTTCTACAATTTCTAAATCCCAAAATAAAAAAAATAAAAAAAGAAAGAGGGGAAAAAATGTTTTACTGCTCTTGCTGATGATGGCTAACAAGATGAGGGCAAATTGTTTTTAATGGGCCACATTACGGCCCAGTAAACTCTTGCTATCTTGTGTTGAACTGTTGATATTAGGCTTGGACAAACTCGGAGCCCAAAAGGCCCAAAGCAAAATACTCACTACTTAGCAAGTAGTCTAGAACTTGCTTTCAAGTCTCAACTTTCCGTTAAGAGAAAAACTGATTCAAAATCTGAACTCAAAATTCTCGCTCTCCCTCTCCCAGTGATCTTCCCGATGGCGATGCTTGTAGATATAGACACCAAAATCGAGTTAGGGTTTCCGTACTGGAAGCCAATTCGTCGACGTTTTGGCCCCGAATCTCCTTTCTTCTCTTCTGGAAACATCGAGAGAGAACTTCTCGCCAAACAGGTCATCACTCTCTCATTTTCGCCTTTTCATCTTCCATTTTTAAATTCTCAAACTCTTAATAGAAATGCGGTATTTTATTTTATTTTATTTTTTGTGATTTTTGGATTTTCAGTGCTTAATTATATTGTTTTTTTTTAAAAAAATCTATAATCTAGGTTGCGTTGGATTTAACTGAAGATGAAAAGCATAGGCTACAGAATTTGGTAGACGAGGATGACAGGTATGAATTGTGTTTTTTGAATTAGGTTTTCATAAATTTTAACTTTTCCTGTAAGAATAGGAAATTTTAGTTTTGTATTGTCTTGGGTTTGTTCTAATTTTGTTTTGGCATGGAAACTAATGTTTGTGTAGGGAGGTGTCTTGTCCAATTGTTGGTTGTGGTGCACATTTGATATCTTTGGAAGACTTTGAAGACCATTATAATGCCCGGCACACTGCGTCGTGTTCAGTTTGCTCTAGAGTTTACCCAACATCGCTCCTGCTTAGCATTCATGTATCTGAAGCACACGACTCTTTCTTTCAGGCAAAAGTTGCTCGTGGTTATGCCATGGTATCTTTTATTGATCCTCTTTTGTATTGTGTATGTGAATTAAGTTGTACAATGACTTTCTAACATAACATTTTGTTTGATTCTAATCGTGCATTTGTATGGTTAAATCCTGTTTTGACTTCTAGTTCTTTCGTCATTAAATGCTGGTGGATTATTTGTGTTATTTTTAGTTGTAATAGTGTTTGTTTAATGACTCCTATGCATAAGAAATATAAACGCTTTTGCTACCTTATTTCCCTTCCTTTCCAATATATTGACTCAATAAACAAACCAAACTGTTCCATAATTCCACTCCAGAATGAGCATACAAGAATCTCTAAAATGAGATAAAACGGCAAAACAATGGCTTAATTAGAACTCTCTTGGATTATTCTTTAGTTGGTAGGGATGGTTATATGCAAGCACATAGTTTTTTTCTTTATAAAACTTCTTCAATTTTTTGAATGTGTGCTTCTGTGTATTGTTCCTATTATCTTGTGCAATGTTAATACTTGTTTTTTCCTGCAACAATATGAATGCTTGGTGGAGGGTTGTGGTTTGAATCCCTTTTGCTCTTGCATATTCAATTGATTTTCACTATGACTCCTTATCGTTCATTTGATTCTAGTGGATCGTTATACTGTTAAGCCTCACTTGGTTTCTTTTGCATTTTTCATCAGAGGTTTTGGTGCATGATTTATGTTTTGTTAGCTGTAATAGTGTTTGCATTATGCCTATGTATAATGTTAAGAATTGTCTATGCCATTGGTTCCATTTTATCTTGTTTTTTGGTGATTAGTAGTTTATTTGTCTTCCTTACAGTGACTTGATAAGCAATCCAACTATTTCATAATTCCATTTTTCCAAGGAGAATCGCTAAAGGCGAGTTGATAAATGAGAACTGAAATAAAACCGGAATAGGGTAATGCTTAGGAGTCTTACCCTAAGGGACTGATCATTTATGAAATCTCAAGGTTTTTTCCTTGATAATAACCTGTCTGTCCAATCTACTTTGTCGTTCTTATAATCTATATCCTCTATGTTACTGAAATCATGAAAAAAATCCTTGAATGTTTTGAACTTGCACCATTTATATGCTTCTTGCCTTTATTATTATTGTTCAAAGCTAATACTTGTTTTTTTCCTGCAAAAGTATGAATGTCTGGTTGAAGGTTGTGGATTAAAATTCAAGAATTACAAAGGCAGACAACAGCATTTGGTAGATAAACATAAGTTCCCCAGTTCATTTGAATTCTTTAAGAAAGCACACCTATCCAAGAAAGCAAGACAGAAGCAACAACGCAAACAAGCTATTCATAGGAGTGAGGAAACTTCCAACAAAATGGACATAGAAGGTGAAACCATTGATGGCCTTGTTTCAGCAGTATCTAAGTTAAGCACTTCAGATTCCTCTCCTTCTTCAATCAGCTTTGGTCGCCGCAACACTCGTGGCGTCACATTTGTACCTCGAGCAGTTCAGCAAGAGAAAAAGGCTGATTCTGCGCTAACTGGAACAAAGCAATAGCCACAACAATACTTGTAAATACCTTGTCTTCGTCCCCCAATACTATGAATTGGCTTCTGCAAGTAATTATGGAACTGATTACGTGAGAGTTGTTCAAATAGCCTACAGTGCTTCAGTGCATGATCATGTGCATGCATTCTCCGCTAATCATCGATCTACGAATGCTAGTCTGGAAGTTAAATTGGTGGGAAAAGCTGAATGGCTTAGTTTTTGTTGAAACCCACATTTTTGTCGGGCATTCATTATCAGGTACTGATAATATAATTTGCATTATCTTGATTTGTTTTTTATTAAATTTTTCTGTTTTATTCTTTGTTAAGTTGAAACGAAACCTAATATTCAACCGAAATGACACTAATGGATTGCTTTTACGTTTACGTTTCCCAACAAGTAAAAATGTGTATAGTCTCAACTCTCAAGCACCCGGATTCGGAGTCTAAATAATCTGTAGGAAATGCTAACTGTCGTGCAATATGAGCAGACGTGAAGGTTGCACATGTATGCTCTTTTATGTACTCCATTTTGTTTCTTCTTTCAATGGAAGGAGACAAACCATTGGTTCCAGCCCTAGCAGACTTGAAGGGTGGAGCATCTCGTTTGCTTATTAATTTTTGGTTTACTGTGGTGCCTTGAAAAAGTGTTTTGCGCATAACTCCCTGTTTGGGTTTTATTATGTAGAAATTGCACGGTTTTCATATATCTGGATTTGGGTTTTACTGAGAAGAAATTGCTACGCTTGATTTTGTATCTTTTGATTTTGCACAGATCCTAATTTCGGGCAAAATATATATATATATATATATATATATATATATATAAGCTTCTGAAAAGTTGGCCAAAAATCAATTTAATGGTGTAATTTATTCTCAAATTATTGGGATTTTGTTAAAATAAGACTTATATGATCAATTTTAACTATTTGGATCCTAAACTATAAATGTTTGTGTAATTTTTTTTTGTTATGTTTGACATTTAAAACATTAATTGTTAATTGAAAAGTTTAAAATGATTTGGGTCTCAAACTATTGTTTTTTTTAGATAAGTTTTATCTTTTTCCATTTTGTTTGATGGTTAAGGTATTGATAGTTAATTGAAATATTTAAAACAATATATTTTTAAGCATTTGTGGTTTTTTTCTTAAAAAAATCTAAATTTGAAAAAAAAACATTTAATCGTAGTAAGTTTTAAAGAAACTTAAATAATTTTATAGTTTATGAATTTGATTTTATTTTTCGATAATTAATGATGTATTATGGATTTATATACCAAAAATAAATAAATTGAATTATTAATTTTTTTAATTAATTTTAATTCTAAAAAACCTAAAATACTTAAAATAAGATGCAGTTAAAGGTTATTATTTTGACCATCATACATGAAAAAAAAATTACTCATTATTAATAATTTAAAGTCTAATAAAAAAATTGATAATAAAAATCTTATCTTATCACAGCTTCCATAATTTGAGGTAAAAAAATAAAATTATAATATCAAACCGCTGAAAATCCAAAGCGACAAGAAAACTAAATAACGCTCTTTCAACTTTGACCCATATCGTGTCGCCTGTTCTCTCCTTTGGAATCTAAATTTAACAAGACAAAACCGTGTCGTTTCAAAGAAGGGCTAAATAGTCAAACCAGATGACGAATCAGGGGCATTGAGGTAAAAAAATAATAATCTTAACTCATCACGTCCTTCTTCACGCTGTTAAATCCCAGTAGCTCACAGATCCAGCTTTACATACACCAAAAACAGAGAGAATAGGGGAGAGACCTTAAAAATCAAAGAGTAATGGACGCAATTGATTCGGTATTCGATCCATTGAGAGAGTTCGCTAAGGATAGCGCCCGCCTCGTCAAGCGCTGCCACAAGCCCGATCGCAAAGGTTAGCAGCAGCAGACTCTCTTTCCTTTTTCTCTTTTAGATTTACTCGTTTCGATCTTGCTGTGAATTCTGACTAAAACGATGCGTTTGTGGTTGTTTCAGAGTTCACGAAGGTGGCGTTCCGTACAGCGATAGGATTCGTTGTGATGGGATTTGTAGGTTTCTTTGTGAAACTCATCTTCATTCCGATCAACAACATCATTGTTGGATCTGGTTAGGTAAGCTCTTTGATTGATCTAGGTCCCTTTGTTTTGAATTTTTTATTATTGAAGAGTTTAGCTGCTAAATTGAGATCTATTATTGAATTTTGCGTTTGAATTATATTTGATTTCCTGGGTTTATGATCAACAAATTGTATGTTCTTTTGAATTTTTTTTTTTAAAGTGAAGCAGAATTTGAATTTTTTTAATATAACCTAGACACTAGAATGTGGAAATTCTAGTTTTGCAATGATTAGGAGTGTGGGAAATTGATTTTCTTCAAGGCTGTCTATGCTTAACTCAGTGATATGGCTTCAATTACTTGAGGGTTTATCTTTCTCACCCCCTTATTTTTTGGAGGAATATTGTTTCCTATATCCCAGAAGTTACAAAATCCATATAGTTTTGGTAAGGGATGTAGATGCCTTCATAGGAATAAAAAGTAAGGTGAAGCCCTTGATCATTCCTGCAGTCATTGATTATGGTTTGTCTGGTGGTTGTAGTATGTTACAAGTGATCTATGGTGTATCTTTGTTCCATCTAGAAGGTATATGGTTGGGTTGTAATAGTTTACAAAATGAAGCAAGGTGGGCGTTCCAATGATGTAGGTGCTGTGAATTCCTTTCGTTTTTAGGTGTTAGGTTATGAAGAGATAAATTGACTCTGTTCTGCTTACATTTCATGGTGATGTGGGTTTTTTTTGGTCTATGGTTTCAGTTGATGTTTCATCTTGCCCTTGCTTGAATGAAAATTTATAAATGAACAGAATACTTGTGACATAATTATATGCTCGACATGCTTACACAAACCCACTTCTCTTTATTTGATATAAAAATGCGAACTTGATGTTGTTCAGGACCTTAAGATAATGTGTTGTAACAAACATTTTGTAAATATTGCAGGTTAAGCTGACTTCGGTAGCATGGTTCCCAGGCTTGATTGCGAAATCCAGAGAAAGATGACGATACAGCGAAAAGGAATATTGGCATTGTTTTGATGTTGCTTTTGCCTATTTGCTCGTCATAGACTTGTAGGATTGAGGATATTGTATGAAACTTTTATTCACTTTTATCTAATAGCCTTCTTGGATTTACTCTTTTTTTTTATTAGTGGATTACAAATTTCGAAATTGCTACAAATGTTTGAATCTGTTTATCCAAGTAAGGGAATCAAACGAATGTTCATGTTCTTTAATCGTGATTCAATTATATAGCCCCAGATGAAATTCAGAGAGAACTGCAACTCTTTTTTTGACACCATTAACAATGACGTCCTTACCACAGTTTGTCCTGGTATTTGTAGTTTTCAATCATGATAAAATAATAAAATTTGTACGCAGTTTAGCTGGTTTTAATAAAATTAAATTCCAAACAACGTAAACCACAGACTTCTGATAAAGCAACTATTAACACATTAAAAATAAGCATTTTACCAACATGATGCGCAAGAAAAAAATTGTTGTAGGGGTAAACATCTATTTGCCACAACATTAAGCAAAAGCAATTTAAAAAATCAGCACACTGGGTTGCTATCGGCGGCGTTGGCAATGGAGGCGAGTACTAGCTGTGGCTGAGCAACTATACCTTCCTTCCTTGCCTTTTTACGTTCACGCTGCAACCTGAAGCTCTCTCTCTTCCTTGCCCGATAGCTGTTGGGATTCTCAGGCTGGATTTCTCGTGGGTAAACGCTAATCTGCCGATCATACAACACCATAATGCATTTCAATTTGGAACATCTAGGACTATCATAAACTGTAAGGTTTAAAATAAGGAATCAACCTTCTTTCTGTCAGGCCCAAACTTCTCAAATTTCACCAATCCATCAATCAAAGAGAAGATGGTGTGATCCTTGCCAATCCCCACATTCTTCCCTGGATGAAACTGAAAATGTAGACGAATACTCGGGAATGAAAAGTAGCATACGTGAAAGTGGTAGCATCAAACACTAGCAGCAACACAATTTGATACAAATTGAATGACAGTTGGGGAACTGCAGATATGTGAAACAAGGAGCAATAGTAGAAGTAAGAATTTCACATTTCTCAATATGCATAGAGCAGTCAATCTCAAAATGATCAAAGTTAAATTCCCTTATCCCGAAAGGAAATCACTTCCATAATCCCTAAATTTATTGTTACTAAATTTCGTCCTCCAGAGAAAAACTGTAATCCATTCATCATAGACGAACCAAATGCAAGAATTTCACAATTTTGAATATGCATAGAGCAGTCAATCTCAAAATGATCAAATTTAAATTCCCTTATCCCGAAAGGAAATCACTTCCATAATCCCTAAATTCATTGTTACTAAATCTCATCCTCCAGAGCAAAACTGTAATCCATTCATCCTAGACGAACCAAAAGCATAGAATCATCAAATCAGAAAAGAAAACACAAGAATTTCACAATTTTGAATATGCATAGAGCAGTCAATCTCAAAATGATCAAATTTAAATTCCCTCATCCCGAAAGGAAACCACTTCCATAATCCCTAAATTCATTGTTACTAAATCTCATCCTCCAGAGCAAAACTGTAATCCATTCATCCTAGACGAACCAAATGCATAGAGTCAGCAAATCAGAAAAGAAAACACAAGATTGGTTAATTCGATACAGTTCTTCCTTAATTCTTTTTCCCTGGTCACCTATGATGATATGGACCACCATTACAATGAGGGTTTCTCCAGTTATGGATTTGATAGTTTGGATGGCGAAAGTTGAAAACTTGTGGCATACTCAATTATTTTACTTGAACAGGGCAAAAACAAAACCTTGCTCTCCCACTTCCGCTATTCTACATTACATATACACATTACTAAGGAAATTGTATTACATCTCTTCTCCATTCTGAGCATTGGACACCATACACAATTCTTTAATATAAAATCAAGCATACCAATGAACCATTAAAAAAAAAAAATCAATCTAATTTCCCTCGAATTGAACTTGTAACCAATAACAACCAGAAACTTAACCCTTTACGAGGGAGGAAAAAAGACACTTAAGTGCAGAACGAAACTTGAATGTCAAATTTTGAGGAATTTAAGGTCAAACCTTGGTACCACGCTGCCGTACAATAATGGCGCCAGGTTTCGCAACTTGATCACCATAAATCTTGACACCAAGACGTTGGCCTTTGGAGTCACGGCCGTTCTTGGTACTCCCAGCTCCCTTCTTGTGAGCCATTTGAATCGTCAAAGGTAATGGAGCCTTCACAGGAGCCTTAAACGGCAACAAAGCAGAGCTTTTAGGACCAAATTTGAGGGACCCAACATCTCCTTTAAAGAAGGAAGATGAAAAGCTTGAAGATAAAGAAAGGCCTTTGAACGAACCAATTAGATTGAAGCTAACTGCCATTATTGCTTTTTAAGCTGAAATTTTGAATACCCAATAAATAAGAGCTCTAAATTCGTGGTTAATTAAATGAAAAATAATATTTGATGTAATATTTGTGAGTGCTTTATAGGGCTTGTTTATGGTTACAGTGACGACTGATGAAGAAGAGAGCGAGAGGTGGAGGGGGCGAGACTGAGAGCTTTATCTTTTGAAAGGTACACACGTGTAACAGTATTAGCACGTGCTAGGGGAGAGGGTTAAAGGTGCATTTCGTGCCTATACTATTTTGATTTTCAAACTAGTCCCTCCTTTGTTGCCATATATATTGGTTCTTTGGCCGATCTCCATTACTGGAGGTAAATTATAAATTACTCTATCTATTTTTGAAAAATAAATAAATTAATCTTTCTTATTTTAAAAATTAATTTTGTAATTTTTAACTAGTGTTAATTATATTTAATTTCATAAAATATCATCTTTTCTCATCAATATATATATATATATATATATATCTCTCAAAAATTTCTTTTTGATGTTGAAAGTCATATAGTTTTAAAATTTAAAAATATCAACAATTTTAACAATGTATTTACTTTTTAACTTAATCTACAGTTTATATATATATAATCTCTCAAAACTTTCTTTTTAATGTTGAAAGGCATATAATTTTAAATTTTAAAAATATCAATAATTTTAACAATGTATTTTCTTTTTAACTTAATCCACAGTTTACTCATTATCGTCATCGTTAAAAAAAATATTGCACTTTAAATGCTCAAATCAAAAAGCTTAATCACTAAACTTATTTGTGTCGATTCTATTCTATTTCAACTTATTATAAGAAATTCAACAAATTATTGACTACGGTAAGCTTATGTCACTCATAATAAATTGATCAATTTTCTCCTTAGATAGATAAAACAATTTTTATTTTTTGTAACTTTTTTTATTGACCAACCATTTATTCCGTAAATGACAATCATAATTCAATCTTATATATCTTTTATTTTTATAAATTTAATATTAATCGGAACTCATTTATATTTGGATTAAATGATATAATTTTAAATTTTTCTAAACATGTGAAAGGATTTAGAATTTTTAACCGTTACATAGTACTAAAAATTACCGTTGATAAGGAAAAAAATACCATGAGCATGAAACGAAAAATATTTATTAGAAATCATTGGACTAATTTTACAATCTTTAATTTTTTTTTTGTTTTAATGCCTAATTTTTATTTTTTGTAACTTTTTCCATTGACGAACAATTTATTCCGCAAATGAAAATTATAATTGGATCTTATATATCTTTTATTTTTTAAAATTTAATATTAATTGAAACTTATATATATATTTGGATTAAATGAAATAATTTTAAAATTTTCTAAATGTGTAAAATGATTTAGAATTTTTAACTGTTACATGGTACTAAAAATTATTATTGATAAGTAAAAAAAATACCACGAGCATAAAACGAAAAATATTTATTAGAAATTGCTTGGACTAATTTTACAATCTCGAGATAATAAATTGTTTTTTTAAAAATACATTTTTGGTATCCAATCTTTAATTTTTTTTTCTCGTTTCAATGTCTAATCGTTGAATTTTTTTTTTTTTTTGCTTATTTAAGTGACTATAGCTACATGAGAGTATAAGATACTCATGTGACGATATTGAGTGTCATGTGTCATGTGGTAGATCTTGTCGGACATTTTCATAAAATTGGACTTCAAGTGAACTTGGGTACCAAAACAAATAAAAAATTAAAATTTGGATAGCAAATCATAAAAAATCATCGGTTGGGCATTAAAAAAAAAAAAATCAAAAGTTAGACACCAAAAAAATCTTTTTCTTGTTTTAGGTACAGCAAGGGGTTTATACTATATCTTCAAATTTTACCCATTATAATATCTCTCTCTCACAGAAATATTATTTTAAATTTTAGTTATAAATTTTAGCAAACAGTTGTAGAACCAAATTAGTCTGTGTCAAGTCAAATCGATCAAATGTTCACCCTTAATTTTGAAATCAAATGTTAAAAGTAAATGTAAATTTAAACCATGTAACCAAAATAGTTTCAAATAGAACGAATATAAATATTTTTTCTCTTTTCTGGACAAAAAATAAAAAAATATAAACTTCTTTTTCAAATAAAAATAACAAAAACAGCAACAATAATAATAAAGCAATCTCATCTCTCTTGAAAATAAGCAATGCAAACTAACCCCCGTTGCCGCCATCAATGAGACCTACAACTTGTAGGCTACTACTGACGTAAATACAAGCATTGCCGCCATCAATGAGACCTACGTAACAACTTTTGTAGGCTTACTTGGAGTATGCAAGAAATTTGGGATTAGTTTCAATTCAAATGAGGTTGGATTGTCCTCATTTTGGTACCACAATTTGGTTAATTTGAGTGAACTTTGTTTGTCCAAAACCCAATCGTAACAGCTCCCCCGTCTAAATCTAGGGAGGGTGGTCTTGTAGTTTAGCCATTTTAATCGTCTATCTATTTCTGTCAAAAATCAAAATATAAACATGTAACACCACATCATATTTAAATTGTTTTGTTGCCACGTCGTGTTCCAAAAAGTATGGGAATGACAAGTTTTACCCCTAAAACAAATGCATCCCATCTTTTCTTGAAGATATATTAATGAAGAGAATTCGTTTCATCACCTATGGTGTATGGTGTTGAATGCTTTCAACCCTTTCCTTCTCTAGCATAATTATATCTTTTACTATTTATTTACAAATGCTATCCGATATTAATAGATTCCATCTCTATTAATACATTCACTGGTTAGCATTTCTCGTACCAAAATGCTTAGAATAGCTTTCTTCACAAGTTCTTTCCTCACAGTGAAAGAAACCAATTACCCTCCTCAATTCCTAAATAGCTGTAATTTCACCGCTTTATCATTTCCAATCTTCTCACATTAAGAAAGCAAAGTTAACAGTACCTGGACAGCACAATTCTACAATTTCTCATATCATAACCTGATTCTATTATCCTCAGCCACACAAACACAAAGGGCAAAGAAAGAGATGAAGAAACACCAACATTTCTATCCTGACACGAGGAATTATCGTCCTTTCTTGGCCGAGAAGCCATGGTTCTTCGTTGCCCTCATTGTTGCCACGTTCATTGTCGCACTACTAATAGCTGGAAGCTTTAAGCAACCATTTCTCTGCTCCATAACCAATGCAGCACGGGAGGTGGGAGGCTATTCTGCAACGCCGACGCAGCTCCTTGCCATCCTCCACTACGCCACAACGCGGGTGGTTCCGCAGCAGTCACACGCAGAGATTAGTATTTCCTTCAATGTTCTTCGATCCCTAGGCCCATGCAATTTCCTCGTATTTGGCCTAGGCCATGACTCTCTCATGTGGACTTCCTTAAATCCTCATGGCAACACCTTGTTCCTCGAAGAAGATCCTAAGTGGGTCCACTCTGTTCTTCAGCGCTCTCCAAACTTACGCGCCCATGTAGTCAAGTACCCCACGCGCCTCTCCCAGGCGGACAAGCTTCTCTCCACTTACAAGCAAGAACAGGACTGCATGCCTCCTAACGTGCGGCTTAAAGGTAACAGAAATTGCAAGTTAGCCCTCAGCGAGTTACCAGACGAGGTTTACAACAAAGAGTGGGATATTATAATGATAGACGCACCGCGGGGGTACTTTGCGGAGGCGCCGGGGAGGATGGGGGCAATTTATACGGCGGCAGTGATGTCACGAGCCAGGTCGCGGCCTGGCGTGACTCATGTTTTCTTGCATGATGTGGATAGAAAGGTTGAGAAGACTTATGCTATGGAGTTCTTGTGCAAAAAGTATTTGGTCAAAGCTGTAGGGAGGCTTTGGCATTTTGAGATACCGGCAGTCGCTAACAGGAGTGGTGATACCCCTAGTTCTAGCTTTTGTTGATGTGTTTTTGGCCTCGGAGAGGTTTCCATCTAAAATGGAAAAAAAAAAATACTTGATTGTTAATGTTGTGTATTTAAGTACTTGTGATCATGAGAAGCTCATACGCTCCATGTAGATCTGGTGGAAGAAAAAGCATCTTTATGCATCAACGTTGTCGCCCAAAACTATGCAACCAAATAGATCCAAGAAGAAGAGCTATAATGGCAACCACAGAATTATTGCTCATTAAGATTGAGATCCAGTCCTAATGGATTAAAGGTGGAGAGTACTAAAGACATCAATAACAAGCATGGTGAGCTCGTCTATCTTAGATGCATTTTTTTCATGCTTTTGAATATGGTTAGGATTTGGACTGGCTAATGTTCTCGAAGTCTGCGTGACAATGATTCAGTCGTCTGGTATTCAGGAACTTGAGCCATTGAGACAAAATAGGGAGAGTTTGTAATAGCATTAATTCTGAAGATGAAGATACTTGTTATGTTTTTTTTCTAAGGGTTTGTTTTTTCAAAAACGATGCTAGTTTTCAGGATAGGAGTTTTAAATTTATTTGTCTAATTTTGGCCCTGAACCCTAATCCATACTTTACAAGAATAGCAATAAATTACTACTACTGATGGTTATAAACTGTAATAAAATCACAAACATAAATAAATAAGTTTAAAATCTAAATAACACTTAACACTTATTTGTAAGTAATTTTAAATAAATAAGTTTAAAATCTAAATAACACTTAACACTTATTTGTAAGTAATTTTATTAGATCAAGACATTAATATTAAATCACTATCTAAATTCTATAATCCAAGTGTCAAGACAATCTTTTTATTGTTTTCTTATTTTGCAAAGAGTTTTTCTATATTCTTTCATTCTATTCTATTTCTTATTTCTTACCTTATTCTTATCTTGTTTCCTCTTAGATATGTATTTATAAGAGTTAGAAAAATAATCACCACAACAATCGCATAACAGTAGCTTGTCTCTTTTTTTTAAAAAAAATAATTTTTTTATCAAGTCAAACCGTCATGGGCAACTCGACCCAAACCCATTTTTTCTAGCATCTCCCACACACACGGGATGGATCGGTATCAATAGTAAAATAAGAAGGCATATGTGCAACCTAGCATGCATTCCCGTATTTTGAGAGCTTATTACTATGCATCCGTTAAGAATAATATAGTAGCTACTACCTAAAATTAATAAACGATATATGAGATATAATATATCGTAAATCTTGTAATATCCTAAATAGTTCTATGCATTCGGTATCTCATTATGTCAAATCTCTTAATCAAGCATATAGTCCGATTTCATATTGTATATCCATAATTATATCCATGCTATTTTTAAACGATGCTTCTTTCAAATGACATGATTGGTCGACCACCAAATATACCAAAATACATCTTCTTTTGTTACTTGAAATTCTTAATTTAGAACTTGGATTTTTTCTAGACTAGTTTTGTAGATCAAATCATATATGATCATAAGTAGTTAGTTAAGATAGCAAATACCAAGTCTAAATCTCAAATAACAATTAATAAAAAGGTGATAACTATTTTAGTTAGAGAATAATATTGTGTCTTTAAAGATTACATAGTGAATAAGTAGGAATTCATTCTCCCACTATCTTTTGCGGTCGTATTAGCAAACGTGGTAGGAATAACGTGCTATAGTATTTCTAGTAGTCACATTCTATACACACTATACGTATCTTAGTTCACTCGTCAAACACAAGTGACTAGCTTGAGTTCTCAAGGTATTTTCTCTTAGTAGGTATAATCACCAAGATCTTAAATCTGATTTTCTCGAATTATTTGGATCGGACTTTTCAAATCATTTGTAAAATGTATAGTGGTTTACAATCTCATATTAATTTTACATTAAGGTGACACTTTCTCAATCTTATCTCCATTCTCGCTCGCTCTTAACGATGCTTAGAGGACTTTTCTCTCATCTTTACTTACTTCCAACAACACTAAGGTGATTACTCGTGTAAGACGACCAATCTAAACATGTGGGACTTTAAAAGTTGAGCTTTATTCATAGTAATACACACACACAAAAACACACGAAAACATTAAATTGCATTCTTAAAAGAAGCGAGTACAATATATAAAGCTCAACTATTCATTAGTATGATAAAATTACAATCTACGTATTCTAAGAGATTTAACGTGTCCAAGGTACACATCTATTGATATGTGTTTTTTTTTTTTTTTGGTAAAAGAATTTGCTATCATTTGATGCATATAATATTTATATTATACTAACACTTCTCTCTCTATTTTTTTTATATATAATTATGTCTCTAACATAATTATACTTTATGTCGATATGTTTTATTCTACTATGATATTTTGGATCCTTGGTATAAGCAATAGTTGTCCGAAGCTATCATTATTAACTTTTAAATCCTTAAGAAATCTCTTTAACCAAAATTATTCTTTTATAGCAGTTGAATAGGTCAGTAAATTCAACCTTCATAATAGACAATATTATACATATCTTTTTCTTACTTCTTTAAGATATATCATCATTATTGAGTAAAGAAGCATAGACGAAGTGAATTTGTGTTCATCAAGGTCTCCCTCCAATTAGCATTTGAGTACTCGATCAAATGTAAGTTTTCCCTTTAATAACACGGAAAATAATCCACAGTACCCTTGAGATATCTCGGTATCCTTTTTCATAGCTTTTCAATGCTCTCGACTAGGATTTAATTGAGATTAGCTAACCAAACTAATAGCAAAACATATATCCGGGCGAGTACATATCATTGTATATATAAGGCTTTCAATTGCACTTGAATATAACACTTTAGACATCTCTTCTTCTAGAGTTTTAAGACACATTTCATGAATTAAAGCCTTGTTTTTTGACATAGGAGTTGTCACAAATTTATCAAAGGAAACCTAACAAAAGGAGAAAAGGATTTCTCATAGTCTATACCCTTTTTATTAGGTAAAACCTTTAGCTACGAGATGAGCTTTATATCATTCAACTAATCCGTTTGCCTTTAATTTTATTTTTTGTTCTTAATTACTTTATAACCAATATAAGATTAAATAAACTCCACACCTAGTTCAATTTCATAGATTACATTTCCTCTTCTAATGCAAATTTTTATTTTTCTTTGGTAGGACATGTTAGTGCCTCTTTCACTCGTTCTAGGCTCTTTATCATCCTGTGGGGTTATCATATAGGATTCATGCTCAATTTTGAATCATTTTTTAGGAATTCTCGGTTGATTTTCTAACTTAAATGGGAATCTTCATTAAATCAATCGAAATTAGATCGTCTTAATTCCTCTCACTCAATTAAGATGATGGGGTTGTGCTATTAGAGCTTACACTAGAAAAAAGAGATTTTGGCACAATCGGTTGTGCGTCGACTTTTGGTCAACTTATAAACATATCATCCTCTTCTTCTATCTCAAAATAATGATCATTTTTATCTATCTCATTCTTTTTAAGAAAGAAATCTTCTAGAAAAATGACATCTTGAGATTCAATTTCAATGGCTCATCCATCGAGTCCTCGCCAATGAAAATATATCCCTTTAAGTATTCAAAGTATCTTACGAAGATACATTTCTTTTCTTTGAGTCCCAATTTTTCATACTTATGAGAAGTATTGCAAACATATATAGTAGACCACTAGGGGTGGAAATGATGCAAATTGGGCTTACCGCTCATCCATAATTCATAGGGTGTAGAGGTTATTGATTTAAAAAGCACACAATTAAGTATATAGCCCATAATCACTAGTGCATCTCCCTAGAATTGAATCGGAAGATTCACATGTGTCATCATGGATCTAACCATGTCTAAAATTATACGATTGCCATGCTCCACTACATCATTTTGCTATGGTGTTCTAGGAATCATAAGTTATCTAATTATTCATTTTTCATTACAAAAACCTTTAAATTGATTTGATGAATACTCATAACCTCTATCGATCCTTAAAGTTCTATTTTTTTAATTAATTCTCAACCTCGTTGATGTATTTAATGAACCAATTTATTGCTTCTACTTTGTAAGAGATCAAAAAGACATGATCGAGATGAGGAAAGTCATCTATAAAAGTAATGAAACGGGATGCTTCATATCTAGCCCTTACATTCGTAAATATCCGAACGTATTAATTTCAAACAAAATTCTACCCTTTAAGCTTTACTAAATGGTTTTCTAATTGCTTTTCATTACAAACAATGTTCATAAGTGGGCAATTCAATTCTCATGATTGATCCTAAAAGACCATCTCCAACTAATCTCTTAATTATATCTAGTACAATATGTCTTAATCTAACAAGTCATAGATTAAAATCTACATTATCATTGCGAGAACCAATCATGATAGAAAAACATACATTATTATTCATATTAAAGTATTTAGTGTTCCATATCATAAAATCATTCATGATATAACCATATCCTAAATAAATAAAATCATTAAATATGTCCAAAGTACTACCACGAAGTGTATAGTATATTTTAGTTTGATAGAACAACTACGGAGACTAAATTTCATTGAATCTTTTAAGTGTAAAGGACATCATATAGATATAAGGTCTTTTTTCCTTACAAATTTAATTTGCACGTGCCAAGTTCAAGCACATCAACCCTCATATTGTTACCCACATATATCCATTGCATCCCACTTTAAATCCGGCAAAATTCCATAAATGCATCTTTGTTTCTAGCTATATGGTTGGTGGCTCATGAGTCTATAATCTACAAAGGATGAGAATCAATGAGAATTTAAGTAATAGAAACAAAAGCATTAACAAAAGAGTTCCTTAAAGATAATACCTGCTTTGGCTTAATGTACTTACGGGCGAATTGACCTAACTTGCCACATTTATAGCAGAGTTAACTTGGTCTTGGCTTTCTTTCCATTGCACTTAAAAATCTTGCTTCTTTTCATTGATCTCTATCAAGTCTCTTTCTCTTTCTTATTGTTGTGTCACTTATGTTTAAAGCTTAAAGTTTTACCGAAGTCGGATTCAACCACACATACCGGTGCATTTGGCCTAGTTACCTCAAAACGCTCATCTTCCAACTCAATATGGTAAGCAACATCAACAAATCTTTTGATATTCTCATTATGGGATATTTTTACTTTCATATGCTCCCAACCATTAGAAAGAGATCGGATAACGGTTTACACTTGTTGTCCATCTAACATGTTCAACATGTATCTCGAGTCTTGCTTTATTGATTTGTTTGGGACCTTCTTACAAGTGTTGAACTTGATCGCCAATAACCTCAATTTGGAGACAATGGACCCTCCAAACTCGTCCCTCATAGCTACCAAAATGGCACAAACTCGTTAGATAATTCTAAAAGTTGAAAAACAAATCATTATTCCTAGAATTAATCAATATTCCCTTTATAGTGGAATCGTCTTCTTTTAGTAATGATAAGCGACAATATCTCGACGATACCGAATATTGTTGTTCTCATCATTAAGTTGGGGCTAAATCATCTCGTTATTAATTATCATATCTTCTAGCTCTTGTAGGACATAATGTATCTTAACTTTCATATGTTGTAGTTGTCTAAATTAAGTTTTTCTCCCTTATGCAAATAAAAATGATTTTTTTTTTGTTGCCATTTTGAAAATCAATTACTACAAAGAGAGATCATATGCAATAAATATGAAATTGATAGTTTACTATGTTTTCCATCTTTATCTATAGTCAAATTTTTTATTTTAATAACTAAATTTAAAAGCGCACCCTTTAATTTATCTCACATCACCCATTAAACATTTATGAAGCAATTAAAATGATATGCATAGGCAAAATATAATGCTTCATAAATAAAATATGTTCATACATATAAATTCTAAAACTATCAAAAATTTATTTCTATATTCTAGGCACACAAACATTGCAAAAAATATTTTTTAGAATTTTTTTGGAATTTATTTCATTAAAAGTCATTATTAATGATTTTCTTACTCATTTTATAACAATAATTGAAATAAATTCCTTACAATATCAAAAATTCAATTCTAGACCATTATTATGTTCATAAATATATAGATTAATTTTTCAAAAAATTTCAAATTTTAATTCACTCCATTTTAATTATTATAAATTTTTTATTACTTTCTACATAAAAATTCATAATAAATATTTCTATATTCTTTAGAATAATTTTAAAGCCAAAATAGCATGTTAGCCTAGTGGTTTTAAGTACTAGCTTAAGCCTCTCTCCTTATAAAGAGGGTTCAATTTTCGGAGGTGTCAAAATTTTGTTTTTTTTTTTTTTTGGTTTTTTTTTTTTTTGTATTAATCTTAAAATTCATAACCCTATAGTCAAAAAATATTTTTGAGTATTTTATACTAAAATAATAAGTTGGTCTAGTGGTTTTAAATGCTTGTCTAAGACTATAAGCTTAGAGGTTGTGGATTTGATTCTAACCATTGTCAAAACTTGATTTGTTTTTGTTTAAATTCTAAAAATTATAGAATCATCTCAAAATGATAAAATCATAAAAGTAAATAAACAAGCCAAAGCTCGATATAACACTTATCTGTAAATAGTTTCACTAAAAGAGTTTTTTTTTTTTTTTCTGTTTTAGTAATTATATAGTTGTTTGTCCTTTTTTTTTTTTTTTTTCAAATGATTGTGTTGTCGAGTCTACCTGTAACGAGCGACCCGACCCAAACTTGCTTTTCCTAACATGAACTTAAGATAAGTTATCTTAGTAATTAGATGAATAAAATTAAAATGTGCATTTCATGTATACGAAGATCGATGGTCTAGAAAAGGACAAAAAAGAAAAAAAGACAAAAGGGAACGTGTTGAGAGTGGGATTTGAACCCACGCCCTTTCGGACCAGAACCTTAATCTGGCGCCTTAGACCAACTCGGCCATCTCAACTTCCTGATGGGTTTAAACAAATATAAGATAATATATGATTATGCAACGAAAACACTTTCTTCACCTTGCTCAACCTCGGAGAGACATATGAATCTTTAACGTATGGATCATCTAAGGATTTGGAATGTGAGAACTCAAGGCAGATTTGATGTAGCATCCACTGGCGTTCGCATCATAAACGAGAGGGAGCTAAACGGGTTATCGTTGTCAAGCATACGCCTAAAAGTAATGTTAGTAATTGACGATCTTTCCATGATTGAAATCATTCTGTATTGGCTATTTTTATTATATCATGTAGGTTGCATGCCATACCCAGCAATTTATCATTTCCAGGTTATACCTATTCCTGCTGCTGTAAAATCAGATTTTTGTTTTTTTCTTCTATAACATGAACTTAGATTGTTGAATTTTATTCAAGTTACTAATGTCATCAAAAGTAGAGTTAAAACAAAAGAAAAAAGGATATTAGTAGGTGAACATACGATTAACTTGTTTTGGGTGTGCTTTAGTTGCATAATCTTCATTGCTTTTGGAAATGAAAGCTCTTGAAATGTATTGCCATCAAGCTTGCGAGCATGACCCATATTGCATGAATTATCCTGCTGCGAGCATTATTTGGATACGTCTACGTGCTTCAGTAGTAAAGGTTAGAGGGGTGGACACCAGAACAGAAACTTCAATAGTCAGAGTTTTGGAATAGTTTTGCTAATAGGACCATGAGAGGGATTGAGGCTTTTGCAGGATATCATCAATCACCACTTGGATGTTTCACAATCCCGTGCAAAAATAACATGAAATAATGGGGATCAGAAAAGGAGCAAAGCAACAATAGTTAGATATGTATGACAACTAGTTGCTACAACAAAGAGCTTACATTAGAAACATGTGGAATATAGCAGGCCAAAACGAAACTAGAATAAAGATAAAATGAGTGTCAATCTACCCAGGCCGAAACAGTGGTGAAACCCTTCTTCGGACAGTCTCCTGAATTTGTTCGGGGGACAAAACTGATGCCTCACCTTCAAAATTGGCATTTTCCATCTGCTGATGCAACTGTATAACACAGGAAAGAGTTGACAGATCTTAAGAGGTCCCTTGCAAGTGAATTGGTCAATTGTTTCATAACTAAATTGTTGTAATAATGTCCAAAATATGGAAAGCAAATTTGAACAGGAAGTAACATGTCTCCGGAATGATGTCCAATGAAATAAATTTTACAGCCCTGAGGTTTGCATTTTTATCTTTGAGCAAAAACTGGTGAATTGAATGAGGGGATGATCACACAGGCATGTACCTTCTCAAGAATTGCAGATTGATCATCCAGGTGAAATTTGCGCATGTACTTTAGCATCTCTAGTTGCTGCAAAAAAACTCCCAACCATTTAGTTGTATTCATCTTCAACCAACCTCTAACACTAAAATTCGACTAGATTTTACTTGCTCCTGTAGTTTATGTTGATTGTGCATTTTTTCAGCAAACGCATCTGGCCCAAGCTCAGCTTCTTCACAGGCAATTTCTTCACTGTCATTTCATAGCATATCAAAACCCAAAAATACAGAATCAGATAATCCAATTTCTTGCAAAAACCAGTACATGCAAATGGAATATTTGTTTCAACTCATCAAAGTGAGGACATCATAAATGACATCAATTTATTATTTTATTTTATTTTATTTTATTATTATTATTATTATTTGAATAAAAAGTGAAGGCATTATGAGGAAAGAAATTTGAAACAAAGCAGACAGTACAGGTAATCCTCCAATAAGGAGACTAATAAAGAGAAGTCATGTTCCTTGATTTAATCCATCCCAGTGACAATAATATAAAATGAATGGCAAAATTATATCATCAGGTTTGTTGTCATTGTGACTAGAAAATAAGAAAATAAGTGCCCTTCCTAATGCTAAACCTGCTGCTTACAGGAGAGTAAAACAGTAGTCCCTGACCCTCAACCAAAGAGAGGCACTGCTTTTCACATCTTTGGAAGATTTGAGAAAGCCCTAAACCTTAACATGACTTTTACAGTGGATGCTGGAGACATGATGCGGTACATCACAGGTCAAAAGGAAAAATGGGGGTTGTCCCTGTAGGAGATCCCAGAAAAACAACGACGGTTCTTGTACTACCTCAAATGACCTTGTCCTATTTAAAGGTAATAAGAGCTCACATATATAAAAAACAAAACAAAAACAAAACAAAAAAATAAATAAAAAATAAATAAGGCAGAATACTCATATTTGTCCAATGCTTTGCGAAAAATTCCTCAATCAGAAAACTGTATCGGAGACAGAGAGAAAACATACTTTGCAACAAATTTGTAAAAGCGAATCATCAAATCCTGATCATTTTCATAGACCATGTTCACTTTCCCCAAGCATGAAATACCAAAACTTGGATCTGCAATATCAAAAAGGTTGTTTTCATGATATCAGATTGCTTCAACTTCTTAGCACAAAAAATGGTACCAGTGTTGAAGAATAACAAATGTGAGTCAGAATAACTGAATGGATCTTTCAATGTTTGTCATCACGGCATGAAAGCTATAACGGTTCGAACTTTCCAACTAAGAGCAGTCAATTTAAGGAAAAAGAAAAAAAAAGAATGATCGCTTTGCAAATACAAGTCAAGATGCCAGGGATATCTTGACTACCAAAAACAGGACTTCTCGGGATACAAAGTAATCATGTAAGCAAGTCCAAAGTGAGATGGCCTCTACATCAGTTTAACTGCTATGAAAGCAGAGCAGCTATTCTGTCCACAAATCTATAATGCACCATCCGTCACATTGAAATTTATTTGCATATTTTAAGATGAATTGCAATTAAGAGTTTACTTAAAGGTTCACTTTGCAGATGCATTCACCATTTACAAGAAAAAAAGAGGTGCACGGTTCATCAATACAAATTCCCAAAGCTCGAAGAATAAGACTAAATAGTGATAGCCATGAGATTACTGTAACGAAGGCAAAGAAAATAACAAATAAAATTTTACATCAGCTGTGTAGCCTGTGAGAACATACGAGGAAATAACACAAGATTCTGTCAACAAGCCTCAACGGCTGTATGTTCAGCCCAAGCACATTGAAGCAAGTACGACAATTAAGGTACCTACGAAATGCACATACAAGTCAAGTAACAATGCATTTTCCAGTCCAACCATATCACTTTTTCAGACTAAAAAAGTGTCCTAGCCACATTTGCTTTGCAAGAGTACCAATCCCCAGCAGTTTGAAAATCAACACCCCCATTTGCAAAATATATATTGAGAAATTCAAAGTTACTAGACAAGTAAACTGCCAAATAGGATACACTCACCAACCCCCATTTCCAGAAATATAGATTCCTGGATTGCAGTGGTAGCAGCAACAGCTTCCTGCATTAAAAATCCCATCTCAAATTTTGACAAATAGATACAATACTTGTTAATCCAAGGGCAAACCCATCAATCATTATGCAAAGAAGAGATAATCACTCACTTGTTTGTCATTCACGGCATCAGCAATCCTTTTCTTTACATCTAACAAAGAAGATTTATATGAATATGATAAACTTATAGTTACAACAAACGAAAGAAAAAGAAAAAGGGATTTTGAATTACCGGGCTGGGAAGTTAGTCGAGAGAAGGAATTAAAGAGATAAAGCAACTGTTCTCTTGATAGCATGCCTGAGCTTTGTAACTGTGCAGTTGCCATTGACGACGATGATGAGATTTGTATGAAAAATGTTACCAGACAATATGGCTATCAGTTCACTTCCCTTCAAAGAGAAGGCAAAATGGAACCTTTCATTTACAAGACACAACGGCCACAACTAATCCATATTCTAACCACAGAAATAACATGGGAGGGCCCAAATTTTCATTTTCATTTTTTTTTATTATTATTATTATTATTTTGTTTGAAAACTATGTGGAGTAAATTATTTAGTTAGTCCCTCTAGTTTTTTAAAGTGAATCAAACAGTCTCATTAGTTTCAATAATTAATTAATTAGTCTCTATATTTAAATTTATTTGTAACTTAATTATTTTCATTCCTTTTTAATTTATTTTGTGTTTGTTTTTCAATAAATATAAAAAAGAAAAAACAGATAATAGAAAGATTGATGAGAAAAAAATTTTGACACAAAATAATATTAATTTTTTTATGGTCAACACTAGTTAAGGAATTAAATAATTAATTTTTAAAATAAGATGAACTATTTACTTCATTTTGTAAAATTAGAGAGACTAATTTATAATTTACTACCATATTAACAATTAACAAAAACAACTAAAAGGATAGAGGTCATGACTATTCATTCATTCACAATTTACTATTCACTTTGTGGTATTTTTTGTGATTTTGGATAATGGTATTTTCATGAATTTTTGATTGTTTTTGAGTATTCATATGTAAATTTTATATTATTTTTCATTTTAGTTTTTAATGTTTTCAAAAGATACTTTGGTCCGTAGATGAACCAAGTTCGCTTATTTTTTTTTCTATTTTTTTTCAAGTAATTTTTTTTATTGAATTGAGTGTAAAAATTATATATATAAAAAAACTAATTGTTATTTTTTTACATTTTTTCATGAATATATATATTGGATTATATTACTCTTATTATTTAAAATTGATCTTTTCAATTTATCATTTTTTATGAAAATTCTCTTCAAATTTGTTTTTTTTAAGTCTTCTTTTTTATGTAAGTTTATTTGTTAATAAATATAATTTATTTTTCTTTATATATGAATTTTTTAATCTTTTTCTAATAAATAATTTTTTGGGCTTTTTTTCAAGCAATTTTTTTTTATTGAATGAGTGAAAAAATTATAAAAAAATAATTATTTTTTTTTTATAATTTTTCATAAATATTTATATCGGATTATATTACTCTTATTGTTTAAAATTGATCTCTTCAATTTGTCATTTCTTATGAAAATTCTCTTCAAATTTGCTTTTTATTCTTCTTTTTTATGTAAGTTTATTTGTTAATATATTTTTTTCCTCATATATGGATTTTTTAGTCATTTTTTAAAATAAATAATTAATTAAAAATAGAATTCATGTTTTTTATTTGCTTATTCTTTATATAATCAAAATTTATCGAATTCAATTTTATGATTGTTTTTATTGTAGTGTATTAACTTTAATATATTTCTTACAATTTAAGTTTTTCAAAAAATATTTTTGGATTTATGTTACATACTCTAACCCACTTTGTATGGCCATAAAAAAAAAAAAAAAATCATTGATTTAATTAGAAATTAACTATGCATCTATCTACATACATAACACCAAATATTTATGATTAATTTTTTTAAAAAAATTAAGATTAATTTATTTCAAATAAAATAAATTAAATATTATTTTAGAAAAACCAAATAATAATTCAAATATAATTTTTTAGAGGAACATCATTTAATTTTTGCCTGGGGAATTCATTGTTTATAAGATTTTTTATTTTTTATTATCTGCATCCAGAGGTAAATCCAAAGGGCAATAATTTTTTGACAAAACCATACACAAACACCTAACACGAATTGCCTTGTCTGATCTCCATGAAATACAAAGATAGAAAGCTAATGCCGTGGCGCCATTGATAAGGGAGAAATTAATATTAATAGGGATTCAGGTCCACCGCAAACATGATTGTCGCTACCTGAAATCATTTTTTCCTTTTTACTTTTGGTGGAACAGACATTCGACTTTATTTATTTATTTCATCATTGTAATTAGAATGTGGAGTGCAATCATGCATAGACCTGCTCCTTTTTTTCATGCAATACAAATTGCTTAACTTATCCCATTAATGATGATGTTGGTGTCCTTTAGGTGTAGTTTGATTATAAAGAATAAAATATTCGAAATAAAAATATAAGAATCGGAATGAAAATTAGATAATCGAAATGATATTTATATTTTTATATTATGTTTGAAATGCAAATGAGAAATCGAAATGTAATTTAAATTTTTTAATATCTAATTTTTTATATAAATAAAAATTAAAATTAAAAAAAATAATTTTATCAAACTATAATGATTATAAAAATAAAAAAGATGATGGTGGTAGTGTTTGTGGTATAGTAATAGTGGTAATACTTATGGTGGCAGTGGCGGTAATCGTGGTAGTGATGTTAGTAGTAGTGATGGTGATAGTAGTGGTGATAGAAGTAGTTGATATACAATAAATAAATAAAATATATTATTATTTAAAAAAAATTATTCTCCTTTTTTGTTTTTATTTTCATATTTTAAATAGAAATGAAATTGTGTGTGATTTTTATTCCCATTTTCACTCTTCATTCTCATTCCTACTTCATTCATTCCAACTAAACAATTAAATTTTTTAATATCTAATTTTTATATAAATAAAAAATAAAGATTAAAAAATAATTTTATCAAACTATAATGGTTGTAAAAAAAAAAGTGATGGTGGCGATGGTGGTGTTTGTGGTTATAGTAATGATGGTAGTACTTGTGGTGGCAATAGCTACAATCGCGGTTGTGGTGGTAGTAGTAATGTTGGTAGTGGTTATAATAGTAATAGTGGTGATATAAGTAGTTAATATATAATAAATAAATAAAATATATTATTATTTTGAAAAAAAAATTATTCTCACTTTTTTTATTTTCATATTTTAAATAGGAATGAAGTTGTGTGTGATTTTCATTTTCATTCTCACTCTTCATTCTCATTCATACTTCATTCATTTTAACCAAACAATTAAATTTTTTAATATTTAATTTTTTATATAAATAAAAATAAAGATTAAAAAATAATTTTATCAAACTATAATGGTTGTAAAAATAAAAAAAGATGGTGGTGATGATGGTGTTGTTTGTGGTTATAGTAATGGTGGTAGTACTTGTGGTGGCGGCGGCAACAATCGTGGTTGTTGTAGTGGTAGTAATATTGGTAACGGTGGTGGTGGTGGTGGTGATGGTGATAGTGGTTATAATGCCAATAATGGTTATAGTAGTAATGGTGGTGATAGAAGTAGTTGATATACAATAAATAAATAAAATATATTATTATTTTGAAAACAAATTTATGGTCATTTATTTTTTTTATTTTCACATCACTACCACCACCACAATCACAATTGCCGTCGAGGGGTTTGGCTCGTCGAGGTTTGGGTATTATAGGTCTAGGGGATTAGGTTTTAAAATTTTATTGGGAAAATAGAGTGGTTGAAGGTTTGGAGTTTTTTAATTTGAGGGATTAGGTTTTTCCTCCAAATCCATTTGCATTTACAACAGAGGGAGGGTTAGAGGTTTGTTAAGGGTAAAAGAAAAGGTAAAGGTGTTCGAGGTAGCCGGAGGATGACGTCCGGGTTTTGGATGAGAAGTAGGAAGGTTAGGGACTTTGCAATGAGAATAATGAAGGGTAGGGAGGGCTAGGGATTTTTCAATTGAATTTGGGGAGTTTTTTTTTTTTTTTCAATTGGGTTTGCGAGAATAAATGATATGCAGTTCACTAGTTAGGTAGTTAATTTCTTAAGTATGCCACATGGCATCCATCACAAAATCCTATGTGGTAAATTTAGCTATGTTGTCATTCTCTATGACACGTCATATCAACTTAAAATTGAATTTAAGTTGAAAAAATTTACATGTGCTAATATAGTTACTTAAAACTTAGTTCATGACCTTTCGTTTAAAACCGAAAGAACATGCTAGTATGATTAAAAAAATATAAAATTCATGATTTTTTAGTACATTAAGCCATATAGGAATGCTTGTTTCTAGTTTCTTTCTAAAATGAAAAAATAATTGAAATTTGGTAGTAATTAGATTGAATTTTTGGTGATTTTTTCTTGTTGTCTTTAGCGATTTCGAACCCCCCGGTTCTATTGTTTTAGAAATGATATTAAACAATGAGGTTGGATTTTGACATTTTGGTTTTATTGAATCTATTCAGATTAGTTTTTGTACTAGTCGAGACTAAATTCACATTTCTCTAAAGTAAACTAGTGTCAAAACACCTCTAGTCTTTAATCGATCACTAAGCTTCTTTTTAGACCAAATCAAATCAAATTTGGTACTATTAAAGAATAATTATAACTAATTATATGTAAATAATAAGAATTAAATTTTAATTTTGGTCAAATCAAAGCAATCTTATCATTATATCACGTTTCTTGACGACAAAGTTGAATGATTGATAACAATTTTAAGGATTGTGCCTTGTACAACTAAGATGGCAAAGTTTCATGTTCTTCTCTTCGAGTGCCTCTTCGCCTCGTGGGATATGGATTTGAAACTTCATTTGTTGCACTGTTGCCTAAGTTGGGTGGTGGAATATGCATAAATTGCAGATTAGGTATATACCCTTAAATATTGTAGCTTCCTTAGTTTTGGCATTCAATTCAATAATAAGTACCACATAATTAGGTTTTTAATATCAATGATTTACTTAAGAAATGAATCAAGCAAAAGAATAAAATAGAAAGACAAAACAAATCACATAACACAAAAATTTTATATGGTTCGATAATAGTGTCTATTTCATGGCTATATAAGGATTTCTTATTACGATTTGTCAAGTAACAGCTACAAATATAAGTAATATTTCATCTATTTATAGCAAGATTGCCATACTAGCTCTGCATTTATACCGCGAGACCCCACCCACATTGTCTCCTCAACTTAATAGTTATTTTCCTTACCTTAACTGCTTTTACGGTTATATATATATGATGCATAATATGCATAAATCTAAACTTGCTCTGGACGCAATGTGGGTGACTGTGCTGCTCCAGTTTCTAATCTTTTCGAGAGTATTGCTGCTGAAATAATCAGTGCCATGATATTTGGGCGAACCATGGCGTATTCCATTTATTATTTGGGGGTAAGTATGTTTATTTAAGTTCATATGAGCTAATTGGGTTTTATATCATAATATATGTTTTCAAGGTTGATATGGTTAAATGGTTCCGAGGGCTATAGCCTCACATACTTAGCTAATTGATTGTATATCAACATTATATTATCAAAGCCTTTGTTGTGCTGTGCTCCATGCCTAATTATTTTTGTATTAATTTCATGGGTTATCAAATTAGGAAAAAGAAAAGGAAAGAAAACATAACAATAACAACATATTCATTAATAACGGGCATTACGTCTTTCAATACAACGATCGGATTAATCAAATATTTTGTTCTTATATTTTTAACATTTTTTTCATGTGGTTTCTCAACTTTTTATTTATTTATTTATTGATCCTAGATATTTTTTAATATGATCTTTCCAATAGGATTCGGATCATTTTTTCAACAAAAAGTAATAGATAATCTGTCACATCAAATAATAGTGATACATGTGAGAAAAACTTAAATTTTGAAAATTATTTTTCCCTATTTTTTAGTTTTATTTTATTTTTAAAAAAATTAATTTTTTATACGTATTATTATTATTATTATTATCATTATTATTATTATTATTATATGATCTCACATTTCACCTGTCACTTATTGTTAAAAAAAATGATTGAAATCTTATAAACAAATATTTAGAATAAAAAATAAATAAATAAAACAAACTAATGATACGATATTAAAAATATCAAAAATACAAAAACGAAATATAAGATTAATAATCCGCCAAACTATAGGTAGGGAGGGAAAGGGCATGGATTAACTTCCAGCTGCTTAGATGAGCGTGTTTAGGGAGAAAGGGCATGGATTAACTTCCAGCTGCTTAGATGAGCGTGATATATATATATATATATATATCTTTTTTGGCTGAGCTTTCTTTTTCTTAATATATATCATATTTCATTAAAAAAAAAAATCCAACTTATCTTGCTCAGTTTCAACAAAAAATAAAAATAAATTATTGATAAAATTAATATATAAGAGCTTAAATGATTAGTTTTTAAAATAAAATTAATTAATTAATTAATTTCTTAAAATGAGAGGGACTAAGTTATATATATATATATATCCCTTCCATATAGCAAAAACAGTCAATCTATCTACCAGACGCTCGGATGTTTTTTTAAGGCCCATTATGACTGTTTTTTTTTTTTTTTCTATTCCTCTTAATAAGAAACAGGAAAAGTTACTAAATTTTTCTTAAAATCGAAAGCAAATCAGTGTTAGAGATCCTAGAGATCTTACATATTTCCTATATAATAAAGAGCCATAAGGCCAATAGAAATATGGGTTGCTGTTGCATTGAGTGCTAAATTAGGGTTTTGGAGTTCTTGGGAGGAGCCATTAAAGGTACTTTCTTCTACTTTCTACTCTTTTAATTGTATTTTTTTCTTTCTTTCTTTGTCTGTATATCTATTATAATAATAACTAACGTGTTATCTTTTCATGACAAAATTAGCTGCTGTTTTTGTTTGGAAAAAATTAAAAACTAAGCTTCTATTTAAGGGTTGCATGAAAGTTTTTTGCTTTTTGATATATATATATATATATATATATATATATATATATATATATGGGCTTTATTATAACTCAAATGATGATAATTTTCTTTTATGTGGAACATGTAACTCTTGTTAGAAAAACTTAATTTCTTGTGCATATATTTATTGATCTAATTAAGGCTATTAATTATCAAAACTAATTTTTTGACCATCAATTCTTTTTTCAATTTCAATTGACGAATAAGGATATTTTGCTCCATTTTTTGCTTATTGCAGAAGTGAAATTTTCCCTAGCTACTGCCCTTTTGAGTACGTGATTTTAGGTGAAGATATGATTGAATCAAATTCTTCTTTGAAAGAAAGAATGAAAAAACTAATTAACTGAAAAGATGTTCTAAGATTTTTTGTTTTGATATTGTTGGTTCTAACTAAAAATGCATCTGTTTCTTGAAATTGAAGCAAAACAATGATACCACACAGAAAAAAAAGAAGAGGAAATTAGAGGGAAAGAAAAAAAAAAAAACTTTTTGGAATTAATCTACTGAAAAGTTGGAGACATTAATGTTGTTTGTTTTTTTGATGATACGTTAATGTTGTTCGTCTTTACAACATATTATTGTTATCAAAATTCATGCTTTATATTTCTAAGTATTATCTCCTTTGTGGTAGATCAAACAATGGGTAAGAAAAGAATGAAAATGGAATTGATCAGGAAAGAGAAGTCTCGTATGCTAACCTTCCGGAAGAGGAAGGCAGGCTTGCTTAAAAAGGCTTCTGAATTCTCCATTCTTTGCGGTGTTGATGCATGCGTAATAGTCTTCGGACCAAAGCAGAACGATGATCAACAACCTGTGGCAGCTGAGACTTGGCCTCCAAATTCCGATGAGGTTCGGTCTACTATCAACAAGTACAAGGATAGCGATCAACCGAGAAAATGTTATCTGGTCTCTGATTATTTTACTGATAAAAAGAAACAGGTTGATTCGGAGCTTGCAAGATTGCACAAGGAAATTATCAAAGCCAAGTACCCTACTTGGGATGACTGTCTCAACAATCTTTATGCAGTTCAATTAAGGTTACTTCTTCGTCAATTGGACGCTAAAATTGAAATTGTTGATAAGAAACTTGGCAATTTCAAAGAATTTCAGCATGGCTTGGATAACGGAGCACCGTGGGTTCAAGCTACATCGGTTAATCCAAGCGTCTGCATGAAGAGTGAAGATGACAATAACAATAGATATCTACCTAATTGCTTTCAGCTTAATCCTAAGCTATTCTATCCTGAGCAGAGTCATCATACGACAGACTTATTGGAGCCAACCGACTTGCAGCTTTTCTCTGAAGAAAGGCTTTTGAATGTTCAATTGCCAGTCCATTTTCAATCGGAACAGAGTGCTCATGGGGCTACAATGAATGCAAATATCTGGGATTGGCACGGTTACGATTCGACTGACTTGCAACTTTCCTGTGAAGCGAAGCCATTGAATGCTCAACCACCGATGCTTTTCCGATGCAATCAGATTGCTCCTGGGACTTCATCACATCCACATGTAATGGAAGATGCGTACCATCAGAATAACAGCAATCAATTTAGTTTCAAGTCCAGTAGTAGTAAACTGCCTTCTGTTAGCCACATACCATGGATGTGGGATGATGAATGGTTCAACAATGCTGATTCCTCAATGACCTATATTGCTCCCACCAAAATGCCACTTACGCCATCTATGCAATTTCCCATGTCAGGCTTTCTTCATCAGATGAACTCTTCTGAAGGAAGTGATTTCAATGGTAACATTGAATTTGAAGGGAAAGGTCAAGGCTTCAAGTAGATGCAGGATTTTAAAGATTTTCTGACAAATTATGCTTTAATGACGGTAAGCATCCGCTGCAGGTTTCTTGAACAGCGTCGAACAAAAATTCAAATCTAATTACAGTTATTGAAGTTCTACATTTTGAAGTGTCAGCAGCAAAATAACAGACATAAAGCAGTATTTTTTCCTGAATATGGTTCAATACGATAGATTTTTTCCCCTAAAATAAGGTCCACATTTCTATCTTGTGCAACCAAAAACCTGGCAGAATGATCAGAGAGTCGTGTACTTTTTTCAAGAATTGCAGATTGGTCATCCAGATGAACTCTGAGCGAGTGCTTTAGCTTTTTCCAGTATCCATCTTCAATAAAAAAACAGAACTTAACTAGAAAGACCAGATTCAATAGTTTTTTGTTGGTTGCGCCATTGACCATACAGATTAGATTAGCCTAATGTCTTTGCAAAAAACAAGTTCCTGCTGAATGTAGCCCTGCAACAAGTTCCTGCTGAATGTAGCCCTGCTTGCAAGTAACCAAAAAGAAAAACCCAAGAAATAAGGAACTCGGTTTTTTATCAAAGAAACTGTAAGGACGTGAGAAGCTTTTGGTGTGATACCAGTTAACTTTCCAGGAAGAAGAACTTAAGAAGAATTGAAGAATTGGTAGTTTTATTCAAATAAATGCAAAATCAATGTAATAAATGTTGAAATACGAGAGTAATATGAATGCAAGAATGATTTTACCGAGAGAAAATCCAAGAAGAAAAAAGAGAGAATTCGTTACAAATTGATCCAAGTTACCCTCTCTCTCTGTAATCTCTGCTTATATACAGTCATCTTGCTAATCACTAACAAACTCCTAACTAACTTGTAACAGACTGCTAAGTAACTTGTAACCCTTCTCTAACTCGTGGCCTGTTAGTTGAGTCTTGTGCCAGGCTGTCATCCATTCATTCCAGCGACAGCCCGTCATCCATCCAACTCAGCTTTGTCATCTATAGCTCATCCACTTCAGCATTGCTATTTGAATCCATATTTCCCTCCCTGTTATCATGCTAAGTTCCAGATAAACCTTGCCGTTTATCAATACTCCCCAATGAAAAACCTTGTCCCCAAGGTTAAAGTTTGGAAATTTGTCCTGCAAATCAAAGACATATTCCCATGTAGCATCAGCAAGAGAACTATTGGACTAATGTATCAGGCGTTTTGCAGCAACCGCATTCCCTATTTTGACCACTTCCTATCCAAGATAGCCAGGGGATATGGAATGTGAATAGTAATATCTCCACGGACAGGTTTCAGTTGAGACACATGAAAAGTGAGGTGAATTTAAGCTGAACTAGGTAGGTCCAAAGTATAAACAACAACTCCTACCTTATCAATGATGCGAAAAGGACCATAAAAACGAAGAGATAATTTTTTATTAGAACGGTGAGCAACTGACCCCCGACGATAAGCCTCGCAATTTCAAATAAACCCGGTCTCCAAGCTGAAACATTCTATCAGTTTGATATTTGTCGACCAGTGCTCTTCATACGATGTTGAGCATGACTAAGATGATCTTTCAATAATGCCATCATATCCTCCTTCTCCTTTAACAACTAATCCACTCGCCTCCACCTTGGAATCACTTGGGATTTAAGGCAAATGCAATGGAGGAACATATCCATGCATAGCTTCAAAAGGAGACATTTTGATAGTACAATGGCTATTAGTGTTATTCTAGTACTCGGCTAAGGATAACCATCTCGCTCTAGTGTTTTGGATTGGAAGAGGTCTTGCAACGAAGGTAGGTTTGTAGACATCCGTTCACCACGTCGGATTGACCATCGATCTATGGATGATATGCTTGTTGAGAAATGTAAAGAAACTTCTTACAAAGCAAATAATTTCTTCTAAAATTTGCTCAAGAAGACTAAGTCTCTATCTAACACAATGGTACTAGGTAGACCATATAGCTTGAAAACATAATCCGGAAATGCTTGAGCTACCGAGGTGGCAAGTATAAGGATGGGCAAGAGCTATAAAATATCCATACTTTGTTAGTCTATCCACCACCACCATAATAACACTTTTACCAAAAGACAAGGGCAAACCATCGATAAAATCCATTGTAATATCTCGTAAAGATGGCTTGTGGCATAGACAATGGTTGTAACAACCCAAGAGTAACAATGGTCTCATACTTACATAGCTAAAAAATAAGGCGATTACAAACATATTCATGAACTGATTTAGATAACCCTTTTCAGTAGAAAATAGTAGTTAATTTCTTTGTTATAGCTTCCACCCTCACATGGCCCCTTACAACGAATGTCATGAAACAAGGAAATCGAGACTCGTTGTAATGGAATATCATGGCCCACCACCAATTTTCCCTTCTAAAGTAATTGATCATTCTTCCATAAATATTTAGAAGTAGGAGGAGTTACACTCTTCAATTGCTCAATCAAATTCTTCAAATAAGGATCCCGATACCATGCACTTTCAAGAAAACTTTAGTAGAGATAGATGATACTTGTCAAAGCCGATACTTCAAGACCTGGGCAATCGAGATAGAGCATATGCCACTTTATTCTCTTTTTCTTTTTTATACTCAATATCATAGTCATATCCCATGAGTTTGACCAGCCAGTTATGTTAAGATGCAATTATGCAATCTCTATTCAAGCAAGCATTTAAGACTTCGGTGATCGGTCTTGATAGTGAAGTGTTTGTTGGCTAAGTATCGATGCCATTTCTTCACTCGCAAATAAAATGGCAAACAACTTCTCATAAACCGACAAAGCTTGATGCTTGAGAGAAAGAACCTTATCGATATATGAAATCGGGTGACCCTTTTGCATCAACACAGCTTCAATACCAGCTCCGGATGCATCTCGTCCCTATAATAAATTCTTTTGATAAATCTAGAAGAGCTAGGATAGAAGTATCAACCATGGAAGCTTTCGGTTGTTAGAAAGAAATATCCGTTTGGGAGCTCCAGTGGAAAGCATCTTTCTTTAGTAGATCAGCTTAAAGGTTTAACCAGACTTTCCATAATTTTGAACAAATCTTCTATAGTATCCAGTTAAGCCCAAAAAGCTAAGTAATTGTTTGAGACATTTTGGTTGAGGCCATGCTTGAACTGTAGCAATCTTTCTTGTATCAATCTAAACTATTGTAGCAGAAATGAAGTGGTCCAAGGTATTCCACCTTTGGAGTGCCAAAAGTGCACTTGGATCTTTTTGCATACAAAACAGCTTTATCTTAAGAGTTAAATACTCGGACATGATCGGATAAGGATTTACTAAAATAAATTTCCTTAAAAAAGGTCGAAAGATGTGATTCGAAGACTTTGAAAGGTGCTAAGGGCATTAGTAAGCCCAAATGGCATCACAAGGTATTCATAATGACCATTGTGAGTTTTAAATATAGTTTTAAAAATGTTAGACTCAAAAACTCTTATCCGATGATATCTTACTCTTAAATCGAGTTTAAAGAAGATTACCGATCCCTATAATTCTTCAAAAAGTTCTTCGATAACCTGGAATAGGAAACTAGTCATGAATGGTGATCCGGTTAACTCTTCCGTAATCCACACACATTCGCCAAGATCCATCTTTTTTCTTCACCAACACAATTGGAGAAGCAAATGGATTAGAGCTAGGTTGAATAGTTCCTACCTCTAACATTTCTTAAACCATTTGTTCAATGACATCCTTTTAGGCGGAGGTATCAATAAGGCTTCATGTTAATAGGTTCGATCCCGACTTTAGAACAATTTTGTGATCATAAGCTCGTTGGCTATATCCATCACACTTTAAATTATCATCACATTATTAAATTATGAAAACAATTTAATGAGATTTTTACGATTACTATTTTACCCTTACATGTAAAAGGACCAAAATACCCTTAATTATCTTTAAGACGGAGCCTTTTGCCTTTAAACACCCTAAGAATCACTAATCGCAAGTTGACATATAGCTTACCCCAAAAATCATGAAATTACCACTCACCTAACTTCAAAAAACAATTGCCAAGTCTTTTTAGAAAATCATTTATAGTACCTACTGTAAGGTTATTTTTCTCTCGGTCTTTCTCTTTGGATTAACTCTTAAAACTAACCTAGGCTCTAGAATTGATATCTCTTTATATCGATAAATAAGAATCATCCCAAAATCCTATATGAATCTCCAGAAAAAAGGTTGAAAGAACCCAACTTAATCAACCATCTAAAAGCATCGTTGATAATTCCACTTTATGGCTTCATTTCACAACCTTACCCTTTTTATTTTTGAATAAAAGCTCTACCAAATGTAAGGAGAAAGTCGAGAGGTTTGAGTTCGTTGATTGTAATAATTAGATTTTGACGAGTAGAGAATGGTGGGTTTCTTGCTCGCCTATAGGCACTTGGGTTCAAGGCTCACCAAGATCATTTGAGAAGGTGTGTAACCCCCGTAAAAATCTTTATCCGTAACGCTACGTGTATTAGAATAATTCTATATATATGTATATTAAGAGTAAGTATAATTATCATTTCATAATGAGAAATTAATGCTTGAAATATGTGATTTATGTTAAATTAAAGTTATTGTGCTTAAGATTAATGGTTTAATTATTAAAGAAATCAAATATGCAAAATCAATGTTTTAAAGACTATATTCTGCCCGAGTTTTGGGTGAATTATTTGAGGACCTTAGGGTACTTTTTGGGTCAACCTTAAAGAATGAAAGTTGTTCATCTATGTGTTGAATAGATCTGTATAAAATTTTATAATATTTAGACCTATACATTAAGAGTTATACCAATTATAGTGAGGGTTGTTTCGAAATGTATTCTGCTGGAATTTTGGGAGAAGAATCTGCCCGAATCTTGTGAGATTTATTTGATGCTGTTAGATTGATTTTTGAGCAAAACTTAAAGAATAAAAGTTGTTTTTCTATGTGTGTAATAGCTCTCTATAAAATTTAATAATTGTTGGATACATATAGAAAGAGTTATGCACATTTTAGTATAGATGGGTTAGGAGGAAACACTCGTTGGAATTTTGGAGGGAAAAGAAATTTCGAATTTTTAAAAATGGAAATTTCTGAATTTTTATGAAATAAAGTAGTTTTAGTTACTTGAATTAAGTTAATTAATGATTTTAATTAGTCTAAATTTTATATAGACACCTAAGCAAATGCAATAAATGAATTTAATGCCAACTTACCCATTATGGATTCCAAAGCGACCAGACTTTCCTCATGACTCACCCATAACCTTTACACCTTATCCCATTAATTTTTAACACTTGTAGCTGAATGAAATTAAGTATATATATATATATATAGCAAGTGTTAAAATAGGAGAAAAATTTTAGTAACCCGTAGGTACCAGAAATTGAGAGAGAAAAGGCAAGAAAGAAAAGAGAGGAAGAAAAACGTGAGGAGAGAAAGGAAAGGAAAGAAAAAGAGGAAGGGAAAAAGGAAAGAAAAAGAGCTAAGAAAACTATAATCAACCCTAAAAGAGGTAAGTAGGTTTCATTTCTTGGCTGATTAATGTCTTAAATTATTTTTTTTAAGTTATTTTGTTAGTGTTTATTTCATGGGTTGTAATAATCTTCAATGATTATATACTTGATGCTTGGGATAAATCCATGTATGGATGCCTTGTTGTGATGATTTATGATGTTATGATTTTTTGAAAAATTTCCAAGTATGTGGTGATGGGTTGGATTGAACTTGGACTAAATTTAAGTGAACTAAAACATGTTTAAAATTGGCTTGGAATGAACTAATAAATTAGTGTTAATAAGGAGTAAATTCTGTCCGAATTTTGGGGTGTACGTTCAAGGATTTTAGATCTATTTCTAGGTGAAACTTAAAGCATAAAAGTTGTTCATCTATATTTCAACTAACTTCCTTTAAAATTTCTTGGTCATTGGATTCGTGTACAAAGAGTTACACCCGATTTAGTATGGATAGCTCTAGATAAACTACTATTAGGCAGATTGCTCTCTAAGTTTCAAAAATTTGTAATTAATTGTGTACTTGGTATTTAGACCTAATTTTTGGATATGTTATAAATAAATATGTCTAGTATCTAAAATAAAATGAGTAAGATTTAATTATTTTCTGAAATTAGAAAATTATTTACTCGATTAGGAGTTGCCCGGTAATAAACCCTAAAACCAAAAAAATTAGACTTTGACAAAATTAATAGGTTTGGAATAAACTAAATGAGCTTGAGCTAAATAAAATGGAATTAAATAGAGTCAATGGACCTAGGATAAAGTTAATGGGCTCGGATTAAAGTAAATGGACTTGGACCTTCTTTTAAATATTAATGAAACTAATGAACAATATTAATGAGCGAAAATTGTGTTCCCATTGTGGGTATCATGATTGGTATGTGAGCAATGGATAAATTTCAAGTGTGGGTTGGACCATGAGTATGGCATGAGAATGAAGGGTTGGTACCCGAATTTGATTGAATGTGATTAAATATGTCATCACGTTCATCATGTGCCTAGTGGGTGGTTTAAGACAAGTCAATTGATTGAGAAATGATTTATACATCTAGGTTTGATAACCTAACTAGAATAAATGGGTATTAGTAGTCCAGTACTCTAGGATGTGTGCCTGCACTATTAGACGATGGATTCTCGCTAATAGTAGTTACAACGAGGGATAATTCCGTTGTGGCGAGAAGATGATCCGAGGATCATCTGGATGAAATCAAGTTGTGTGCTTGCACCTTGTTAGACGATGGATTTTCGCTAATAGTAGTTACAACGAGGGATAATTCCGTTGTAGCAGAAGGTGATCCGCGAACCACCCGGATGATAAATAGAGTAGACTGGCTAATACCCGGGGTACCCGAGATTAAAATTTATGAGTATGGTGGGAAGTCAAAACAACATTGCATATCACGTGCATCACCACGCTTATCGAGCTTCGGCTCACCTCGTTGTTATTTTTTTTATGTCTTGACGAGAAAAGGACAAGTTGGTACGGATGCGGCTGGCTCCTCTAACTAGCTCATGTGAGGCACCATATATTAGTTTTTATTTTGTACGTAAATTTGGGGTATGGAGTTCGTGAGAAATTGAATATCGCTCGTAATGTTTTATTAATGTATTTAATTATGTTATGTAAATTTTATCTTAAAGAGTTATATACGTAATGTACTTGTTAAAGTCCTAAGAATATCATAAGAGCACTACTTAGAGTTTAAGGTATGTCGGCGTAACGCGCTTCGTCCGATACCTACTTGGGTAGTAGAAATATGATTGCGGCGGGGGCGTTACAAGATGAGTTGTCTTAATGGCATCTTTTGGAAATGCTTCGACATTTTATCTTCCCTCTCGTTTTCCCAACTCGGAGCTTTAATTGGTTGGTTGTTTATTGTTATAATGAGATCAACTTCCATCAAAGCTTTATAGGAATTGGCATTTTCTCATTCAATCTTCCATCATGTTTTGCCTTTATGCTTCTCTATAAAAGGGCATTGCCCACTCCTATTTAGGCAATGAGGCATATATGAGTTAATGGAGGTGTGATGCTAGTGAAAAAGTAACAAAGGTTCTAATCTACCTATGGGTAAGAACAAATGCCTCTATCAACTTCTAAACTTTTTGTAATTAGAGAAAGCTTGTGAGTTGGGCACTCGAGTTATCAAAACCTATGATGGCATCATAGTTTGTGTCTTTTAGTTTTCAACCATGAGAAAAGCTAATAGATTGTATAATCGATTAGAAATTGGCTACTAGAACAATTTCTCATAAACGACATCACCGATAAGGTTAGGAACCTTAGTTGATGATGTATGATGAGGTAGTTTTTTCTTAGCTAGTGAAGTTATAGAGTTGGACGATGGATGGAAGTCAAATTAATTGGTGTACCTACAAAATAAGTATCTATTTATGAGTAGGAAGATCCTTTAATGGCTAAGTTAGCTCTTTGAGGGAGATGATGGTCTAAATAGTATAATAATGTAGTAAGGCATGTATTTAAAAGATGATGAATAATAGTTGTAGATTGAGAGATTCAAAAACTAAAACCTTAGGTTCTTTGTCTTGTTTATATAACCAAAGGCTTTGTCAAATTACATGGATGGAACGGTAGAATGGTTAATTTTCTTAATGCTATAAGCTTTTGATAAACACTCAAGAGATAAATATCTTTGATGTTTATAGGATACAATTTGAGAGAGTGTGACAACATCATAATTAGTATTAGTCAAAGAGGATTAATCTTGGTTGCGTATTCTCATTTAATAGATGTGTGAACTATTTCTTTCAATTAAAGAGATTAGAATTTGTTGTTTAAGGTAAGACCATCCGGTACTCATATAGGAATAACTTAGCGAGGTTATTTTCCCGCCCGAGACTTCGATCAAGTCTTGTCTTCTTAGATGTTCATTTAGGTGAAATCTAGTGAAGATCCATCGAAAGTATATGATGAAACGTGTCATCTGGATATATAAAAAATAATAATAATAATAATAAAAGGAAGAAAATTAGGTTAAAGACAGAAACAAATATATGAAATGGATGTAAAGAAAAACTTCTCATATTATTTTTAAATTGTGAGATTTAGGTGAATTTTTTTATTTTTTAAGACTTCACCAAAGTGGATTTAACTACCACAATAAAGATGAGAATGCTAACATTAATTACTTCTTGGAAGGTGTAAATAATTTCAATTCCAAACAAATAAACTCATGACTTCTTGCTAAATCTCTATCGTAAAAGTGGATTTGACCATCACGTTAAAATAAAAAACTATCTTTAATCACTCAAGATGTAAACAAATTCAATTCCAAACAAATGAACTTCAAACCTCTTCCAATATTATTCAAAATCAAATAAACTAGAATTGACTAAGAAAAATTATATGATGCCGAGCTAATTAAATAAAAAAGAAAAAAGAGTAGCGGAAACATAAAGTAATCAAGGTTGTAGAGATTGTAAAGTAATCAAGATTGTAGAGATTGTAGGGTATTGTATGATAACCATACCATTCACCTTAAATGGGTTAATGGAAAATTGCCTCCAAATTAGTAAATTTTTGTAATTTCAAATATTTATTATTAATTTAGATTAATTAAATTTTAAATTATTATTATTATGGTAAATATGATTCTTCCTTGTTATTTTTAATAGTCAAAGAGGTTGGCCGTTAATATTTCAGTGAATATAGACATTTTATTTTATTTCTAATCAAGTGCTTGTATTTTTATTTTTTCTATTTGATTATGTGTGTGTTATTATTTTTAAAATCTAACAAATAATGATTGTACAATTTTATAAAAATCATATTTTAACTAAATTAAACATACGAAATGTTAACCTTCAAAAAAAGTTGGTTAAGGGTCAATCATTAATTAACCTAATTTAATAATGAAGGTTCAAAATTGTCAAAACTTACGGTTTGTTAGTAATTTTCACTATCAAATCCACCTTAAACTAATACAATAAGACGGCAAACAAGATCCATGAATGAGAACAGTAGAAGGCCAACGTTTGACCGCAACTATTGTTTATCTTATCCTATCTTGCCTACAAAATTTTTCAATCAACTCAAGATATGATTTCCTATCTTCTTCCCTTCACGTCCTCTCCCGGCCCAGTTCCCAAAGAAAGAGGTAACAGTAGGTCAAAGGGCAGACTCGTAAGGCATCGATTGTTGAGTTCTGCAGATAATAACAGCAATGGCGCAAACTGTGTCAGAGAAGGAGATTGACTCCGCAAGGAGAAGGATGGCTTCTGTTGCCAACCATCTTATGCTAGTTTCTCCGGCAGCTTCCAGTTCAAAATGTGACTCACTTGAACTAATACCCAATGCTGCTTCCATGAATGATAGCTACCATAGAGTCCATGGAGCTGTCTCTGATAAAGAAGTTGTGTGGAGAAATGTCGCTGCTGCTGATGGTAATAAGGACTTCACTGACATTATTTATCAAAAAGCCGTTGGCGAAGGCATTGCAAAGGTCAGAACAGTGTTATCTTGATCATGTCTTTGATATCTCTCTTTTTGTTTGTTTTAAATTGTTAGTATCGGTTTTTATGTGTTTGTAGATTGCGATTAATAGGCCAGAGAGAAGAAATGCGTTCCGGCCCCAGACGGTTAAGGAACTAATTGCTGCGTTTAATGATGCTAGGGATGATAGTTCTGTGGGGGTTATCATTCTCACTGGCAAGGTTTTTCCTGTTCTTTAACTCTTTTTTTTTTTCCACCTTTTCTACCGGAACTTATCTGCTTGCAAGAAAATCATGTCATTTTTCTTGGATGCGATTGACATGCTTGTTTTTTGCTATTGCAATTTTCAATTTTTATATAAACCTTTAATCTAGCATACTGGGAGTTAAGAGTGAAATTTCTCGAATTTCCTGGTGTTTGTTTCTATAAGGAGGCTTGTTTTAATTGTGAAATAACAATGTTTCTATAGGGAACCAAGGCCTTTTGCAGCGGTGGCGACCAGGCGTTAAGAACCAAGGATGGCTATGCTGATCCTAATGACACGGGCCGTCTCAATGTCTTAGACTTGCAGGTGCTAGCAACGTTAAAATCTAGTATAAAGATTTTATAAAATGTACTTGCATTCCACTTTATACATCATTTCCCTTCTAATTAAAGTTCAGATGTTTAATTCAAAGTTCAGACTTTCTATCCTCTGGTAACTTTCCTTCTAATACATGATCCTAGTCATTATTTTCCGTGCTTTGTAACTTTGTTCACGGCCTTTGAATTTTGTATTTTAATCATCATGCAGGTACAGATTAGGCGTCTTCCTAAACCAGTAATAGCAATGGTATGCTATTCTTAACTTCTCATATAGTTTCTCTCATGGATATGCATGGTGACTAAATGTGAATGCATGAATTCGTCGGAGATATGATTAGGACATAAACTTGAAACTGTATGTCTCTGTGTCGGATTTTTTATTAGTTGTTTTGTAAAGTTCAGATTTCTTTTATCAAAGATGAGGATTTAGTTGTTTTATTCATTGCATTTTCCGGGTACAGTGCATGATATAAGTATAAATCAGGTTGCAGGTTATGCTGTTGGAGGAGGACATGTCTTGCATATGGTTTGTGATCTCACAATTGCAGCAGATAATGCTATATTTGGCCAAACCGGCCCGAAGGTAGTTCGGTCGTATCCTGAATCTCTTGTTGTTTAAAACTTGAAGTTTCAATTTGTTTGCTTGATTGGTGGGTTCCGGCATGATTGAGTTGAGTTGAGCCAAGCCAAACAAGATTGGCTAGGTTCAAGATTGGTTACTGTTCATCATCTCCTACCTCCCATACCAAATCTACTCCAACCACCCTGCCATGTATCAACAACGAAAAGAAGCTTTAAATCTATTATTTGATATCATGGATTCTCAATGTGTGACAAGTAATTGGTTATAGGGTTTATAATCATTACACTTGGATACCATGAGACGCATGAATATGAATTAAGGATATGAACATGGGTACAAATATGATTTTAAAAGTAGAGAGAGGACATTAAAACAAATAAAAGAGAGAAACTAGTATAAAATCAAGAATAGAGGGAGGCTTAGCAGCTTTTAACTTGGCATTTTTAAAAGGCAGGGTTGATAGCGTGCAAGCACTCACCTCTCACAAGTTGCTTTCCTTTTTGTGTCCGAACTGTCAAGATTGGATTAATGTCTGCTGTATTGTTTCTTTTTGCAGGTTGGAAGCTTTGATGCAGGTTATGGAAGTTCCATCATGTCCCGTTTGGTAAGCAATTAAACATGTTTTTGGTTTGACGCAACACTTGGGATTACAACACCTATGGTAGGAAATGACAAACATCGTGTGATTCTTCTAAAGACTTCCTCTTCAAGTAGATGATTTTCTTGAGCTCTTTCCATTTGATATCTTATGTATTATGCTGTTTTGCATCTGAATTTTGTTGAACAGGTTGGGCCTAAAAAAGCCCGCGAGGTATGGTTTCTGACAAGGTTCTATACTGCTTCTGAAGCAGAAAAAATGGGCCTTGTTAACACTGTTGTACCAGTGAGTTCATCTTTCTCTCTCTCTCTCTGAATCCAATAATAGATAGTTTAGGATTTGTTGGTATTTGACCCTCATCAAAATGTTAAACTTTCCCCTTGCCAACTCTTGATTCTCCCATTACTATCTTTCTATTTTTGTTGGTAATTGTGGCTATTGTCTAATACTGTTTCCAGTTAGATAACTTAGAACAAGAAACAGTGAAATGGTGTCGAGAGATTCTAAGGAATAGTCCAACCGCAATCCGAGTCCTCAAGTCAGCTCTTAATGCCGTCGACGACGGCCATGCTGGACTCCAGGTACCTTCAGACTATCTACCTGTATGCACTGTGTTTGTAGTCAACAATTCCACCAATACTGCGAAGTATAATCCATCTTGTTTCTTACTCTGCTTTGAGCACATATTACGTTGTTATGCAGGAACTTGCTGGGAATACGACACTCATATACTATGGTACTGAGGAAGGCAGTGAGGGGAAGACGGCATTTATGGAACGTAGACCTCCAGATTTCTCAAAATTTCCACGACGACCTTAATGTCACAGACCTAATTTGTTGTCAATCTACCTGATAAAATTTGCAATAAATCCTTGGGCTTCTTTGCTGTGTGTTCTTGAGATTAGTATTGGACTGGCTTTAAGCTACATTATCGGTGGTTAAAAGCGTCATCCTCCATTCAGCAATGAATTCAGAAGAAATTGCTTTCGATTGCCCATGACTTCATGTATAGTAAGGATTATTACAGAATGACACGCTAAAAAAAATTTCATGGTTGGACTTCAAGCTATGTACTGAATTTAATTGATCGGCAATAAAATCTGCATCCTTACACAAAATGAGGTATTGGCACTGAATTCCATTTTTAAATAAACATCTTCAGCCCATAGGGGAAAAAAATACCAAAAAGAACAGAGAAGTTAATAGTCACATCAGTAAAAGCAACTGAGGATTTCGAATTATATCTAGTTGCGTTTCCAATTCCCATGTAAACCCTTTTTACGTACTACTGTCTGGTGATAGCAGTGGAAGCTTGAGAACCATATGTGGTTTTAGTAGAGAAACATTGCTCTCTAAATGCGTATCTTGTACTTCTGCCTTCCTCACCTTTCGCAGTCCCAGAGAAACTAGCCTTTGCCATCTGCCTTAGTTTCTTTAGTTCACTGTTCTTCTCCAATTTTAGTCCCTTTGAACCTTTTCCTTCCCCAACTCTCTGAGCAGCAAAAGGGATGTCTCTGCAGTTGCAGAACTTGTTTCTTGAATAATATCTGGACTTGGTGAACCAGGACTGAGAACAGGGACCACTGTTGCAGATACATCACTATGTGAATCACCCTGGGGTGCTCTTCTATCTACCGGTTCCGGACTTAGAGGAGGGACAGCAGATAGGCCTGTTTTCAGTTGGGAGAAATTTGGAATAACTTTTGACCAATGCTTCCTTGGTAGGAAAGGCAACACAAGACCTTGAGCAGCAAACTTCAATCCGAATTTGAATGAATTATTCCAAGGCTGAGAAAGTCTTAGAAGGCATTTTACCAATGCATACCATTCGTTAACAATATGAACGATAAAGGTTAGAAAGAGAAGAGCCAGCATTGTGTATCCAGGTATGCTTGCTTCCATAGGATTTGATCTGGTTATAGCAATAGATAATCCAAAGATGCCTAGCTCGCACAAGAGCGAAACACTTTCCACCAAATGGACTCTCCTTCTGATGTATGGTTTGAGTGTAAACAAATAAATGAATTGGATCAATGTGATTGCCAATGCTAAGAGGCTTTGGCTTGATGCCGGTGATTGGTATGCTCCGGATAGAATTCCCAGACTGACTCTTCTCACAAGATCCAGAATAATATAAGAAGATCTAGCACACCCCACGAATCGCCTGGACCAAGGCATTTTAGTTTCTTCATTGCTGTCATCTGAGCTAACAGCTCTCATTCTTCCAATTCCACTTTGACCGCTTTCAATCCACTTGGGCAAGGTGCTTGGGTCATGATGATCAACAAAGACAAATAATGGGGGACCCCTTAGATTTTCAAAGAGAATTCCAAAGCGTGACAGGAGAGATGTAGGCAACCCTTCTCTATAAAACCATTTACCAATTACTTGATTACCAATAAAGACGGACCACAACTTTTTATAACATAGTTCCCCTACAGCAATATCCCTGATTTCCTTGTACTGAGCCAAACTACTAGAGAAGATAGCAATTATGAGAAAAAGGATGACGAATAGAATAAGTGCTCCTGGGACTACTAGTAACAAAGCCCCAATGATGATTCCTCCAGGGGAGCCACCTGAAAATGAAACAGACTTCTTTCCATGAAAATCTTTTACAGAGATTAAATTAAATCAGAAAGAATATCTGTAAGGACTCACCTTTTATAACAAATGTTGAAGACTGAGAGATACAAGGTAACATGAGAATCAGAAGTAGCAGCTCAAATCTGGGAACTGAAAGTATCCCATGGGCTGGTGGTGCTCCTGTCCTCCATTTTAGGAAAAGTAATATTAGCACATGGATTAGAAGTAAACTGCCACCTCCCACACCAAGCCAGAACAAGTTCTTTTCCAAGTCTTGCCACCTATTGAAGAAACAATGTCAGCCATGTTAAAAAATTAATAGCATCCGCTGTAATTTTATGCTTGCGGGTATTAAGAGTTAATCTTCAGTGTTAGTGGAAGTAATTTTGTTTGAATAATCAGATCCTACTTCAGAAGTTAAGCGTTGTGCTACCCTTTGCAGTTCTCAGTTTTCTTGATGACGTTGCTAGCAGACAATGGTTCCCCTCTCTGCAAGACAGATGAATTCAGCTGAAGAAAAATTCTCATGAAATCCCAATATACAACCGTGCATCATATAGAGTAAATACCAACCAAGAAACAAGTGAAATATTCTCTGGAATTGAGGGGTAGTCCATATGGAGTACTTTTCATGCTTGTATAATATCCATGACGCCAACCAAAGTTGAGGTCAATTCCAGTCCGAAATGATAGTTGTTCTTCCACATTTGAAGAGTTAGTTAAATTTGTATTAAACCAATTGTGATATCCAAGTGATAAGATTCTGAGATTTTCTTCAGCCAGATAAACATGGTTGGGCAACATAGAAGCGCCACCATCTTTCCATGGAAGCTTTTGACGAGGTATGAGCCACCTCAGACCTTTTGTTGTCTCTGAGTACTCAATTGGATGACTGGCAGAGAGCCAGTCAGAGAGGACAAAGACTTGAAGGTGTCCCAAAAATCCCTACAATAGAGGTAGTTTATGGTTATCAAATTAAATCACAAAACACAATGGTTTTTCAGTAAAGACGTATGATTTCTAGTACAAAGTTATTGGAAGAACTTGTCTGCATGTTTGACCTTGCCATGTCTTAAAACACTTACATGCAGATTCATAGATGGATTAGAAGCAAAATTATTGGTATCCTCCAATGCAAGAGTGCGTATAGCTCCAAGATTTGCAGTGGACAGTGAAAGCGCAGCAGCTGTCAGTGATGTTGCTATTACTCCAGCAGTCACAAATGAGTATAACACCATTGATATTGCGGGGGTTGAGTCTATTGTAAAGTTTAGATTTTAAAATTCAGATGCAGAGAAGTAATAGTTGAGCACTGAAGACGAAAGAACAAGACATTATTCTTACAGTGTTTCACTTCAAGTAGATTAGAAGCTAAATTTTTATTTCCTGAAATATCATTTACTTTCCCTGCAGGGATAGTGATGGAGACCACATTCTGAGTAACAGCAAGGACAGTGAAAGAGTAGAGAGCTCTTGAAAATTCCTTAAACCTAGATAAAGAAACAAAAAGAGTTAGACTCTATTTAAAACTGCTCTTCAAACTTTTTGCAGTTCCTGAATGTTTGTGCTGTAAAAATCTCTGGTGCACTGTGAACAATGATAGTAATAGCTTTCAGAGCAACCTATGCACCTGCCTTGTAACTTTTCCTCCTTCCACTTGTAACATGGAGGCTTCAAAGCCAAAAACTGGCTCCGTAAACTCTGCTATCACATTCATGTCAGGTACCTTCGTGACATTTAGTGAGCTGGTGCTCAGTCTCACCTCAGGATTTGTTGAATCTTAAAAGAAAGTATATGAATTAGGAAATCTAAGAAACAGAAATGAAAGAAATTAGTTTGAAATTCACAAACAATGACAACTGCTGTACCATATAGAATTGTCAGTGAAGCCACTTGTAAGACAGGAGTGCCAGTTCTGCCAACTAACCCAGAATCTAGTTCAACTGTAATGGTTTCAGCTTTTGATGCATTCCTGAGCTACAAATATGGAAATAAGAGTTTTGAAAACATAAATTAGACTTTCGAGAATTATAAGCATTTTCAAAGGAAGTGAGTGTGAACTTAATATTACTATTATTTATGGCATTAATTTCTTTTGAAAAGTATGCTAGTATCATTTAAAGTCTGCTTACTTCAAAAATGAAATTGCGATTTCCATGATTTCCACTAAGAAAAGGCAAAACGTAATCTGAATTTACATGCAAGGCATTTTGGACTTCTTCTGTTGAATTTCCAATGGGAATGCTGAAGTCCAAACAAATCTTCAAGTCCCCCATTTTGTTAGTTGCCAGAACAGTTCTTGGGACCCCATTGATCTCCATCACATAAGATGGAACTGGCATCCACAAATCTACCAGCACTGGTCTTCTATCTAAAGACAGAAATTTAAGTATAAATAACAGAAGGATCCATACGCAAATCAATTCATTAAACTCTAGCAAGTTAAAAATGATGAAAGACGACTCACCAAAGTGAATAATTAGAATGGAACTGTTTGTCCTAGTAAAAGAGTTTCCAGCCTTATCTGTACAAAAGTTATCTGCCATTCTAACAAGGATGCGCCCATGTAAACTTTTCAAGGAAAGAATCAAGTCAAGTCTATATTTTATATTAGGTTCGATAATGCGTAACGAAGAAGCATGAACATATGCTGGACCATCCAAAATGACCTGCAAAACTGAAATGTTACTTGAGTTCACACAATTATACCCTTTGGTAACAATTTAAGTTCTCGTTAAAACAGTCAATATCAGACACTTTTCTGCAGAGGAACTAGAGTGTTTGGACCTAGAAATGCACTTACATCACAATTTGATGAGTTCACGCACTTGAAGCCACCCAACCCAGTGCAAGCTTCACTGAATGTTACATCAATGGTTACCTTTCCAGCATGAGTGTAATTCTGTTCACTAAATATTGTTGCAGTTGGAGGAATTGTGTCTGGACAATGCAATCATGAAGCAGACATGTGAAGTTCCAACTGATAGAAGTCTTGGAAGAAAAATACTTCAGTGAGTGTTCTTCCAAGACCAGACATTGTCTAAGGCTAAGCACTGCCATCTGAAAGGGAAGAAAAAGGATAGAGTTACTTACCAATGAACCAAGAATAAGATGATGAATTTCTCTCTCCATTACGAGTTGTGAAGTTGAGAAGAAAACTGTGTTTGTGGTTTACAGTTAAGTTCTTGAATACTATCATATCAGCCGGACATGATCTCAAAGTTTGGCCATCAAGCTGTTTCCAAGCCAAATATTTTAATGATTCAACCAAATTCAAGCTGCCCTCAAAGAAATAAGAGCCACTAATCATATTTTACTAGCAATATACTTTCCCCTGAGAGGAAATTTATTCACTTGGGGACCATCTGGAGAACGGCATATGAATTTATCAAGAAGGAAAAGAAGTCCTGAAAATAATAGATAATCTCAAGAAGGACTATGCCAAATTTGCTACAGTTCTAGCAGTTCAAAGTAAGGAGAGCAAAGAAAGACGTTTCAACAGGAATGTTACCTCGCAGGAATTGTGGCAACTGTTGTTCTTACAAGCGTTGCTACCATCTGGGAACTCTGCTGAATACTGGAACACAGCAGTAGAAATCCTTGATTGTTCTGGTGGAGCTCGATGAAAGTTAATGAGAACTATTGACTCAATTGAGTCTAATGCACATACCACCATCAATGCAATACACACCACTAGTTTCAGAAGTTGGAATAAACCTGTTTCAGAAGTTGCCATGTACTTCACTTCGCATTTGAGAAAGAACCAAGAGATATGACCAAGGAAAGAGGAGATAAGCTTTGTTTGCTGCAAAAGATAACAGCAGTTGGGACTTGGGATAAAGAGACAGCTTGCATCCAATGTCCGTCATAAATTTATGCTGAGAAACTTGGAAAAGTTAAAGACAACTACCCCAACCATTGTTGTCAGTTTCATTACTGCTTATTTAAAGATACTCACATTTCCTCATTAACTCCCGTCAACCGAGCCAAACCTGAACATTTATTCTTCATTTCTTCTGGTACTATTTGCCTTTTTTATTCTTCCTTTTTTCCTTTATGGGGGAGGTTTATGAATAAAAGCATGTCATGAGTTGTCAAATCTGTTCAAGAACTTCACATTGCATGGAAAAAGATTGACTGATTTCAATTCTATTTCAAGCATATTTCATGTTCTCCTTGTCACACAACTTTGACCTGCTTGATGCATAAATTATGCAATTTCTGCAAGACACGAGGAAGTTAAATATCGATTTACATGGATTTATAGATTTGAGAGGTTCAAGGCAAAAGGAGGTTGGCATAGCAGGCAATACCTTTGGGCTGGTGCAATGACACCGTGGAAGACAAGCTAAATAGACAGAAACTGGTAGTCCCACACCAATTTATGATAGATGAACCATGTGGTCCTCTACATATCCATGCTCCTCATTTAATGTCGAACGACAAATGGACATTTAATAATGACTTGCTGAGTGACAAAAATTTTACTCATCACATTAACTAAAGCAAACAGCAAATGATGTAGTTTGATTACATAACCCAATTGGGCAACGATTACTCGGACTAAGCTCAAAAACTTGATAGGTGACATGCAGCATAGAATGCCGATGATGTAAGGTTCTCTTCTGTACATATGCTGTATCATTTCTCTTGCTAGATATTTACATAGCACAGATGCTTGTACTAAATTGTCTGGAAGATGCTAAATGTCCATAGATAAACTTCAGAGCAGGCAAAAGCGACGACCCATCTTTGAAGAGTTTTGGGATATGGTTCTCTACAGGACTGCCTTTAGGTAGCAGAAGGTATGAGATCCTCAACACGAAAACCAGATCCATTGTCATCCTCTGCTACCATCCACTGTAATTTAGGCCCCTGAACATTGTAACCCATGAAATCAAATATTGCAACAAAAGAAGCAACTATAGCATTCCCTTGCATATTTTAAGAATAATTACTTCAGACCATGGAGGAGCCAAGACTCTCTAGTGGCACATTAAAAAAGTGTATCCAAAAAATTTGAGAAGAGATTTTTATTATAATTAAATTTATTTATTTTTTATTTTTTAGGAAAAGGGAGGGGGAGAGAGAGAGAGGAGGCAGTCCCAAAAAAGAATCCACGATTTTATTGATTTACATCTGGAAGTTTTTCTCTCAGTTACCAATGTCACAGAAGAGAAAAGACCGCTAAACAGGGCAATTTCCCACCAAGTAGTGCATTTATTTTACTAGCAAAAGCTTTCCAATATCATAAATACACCAAGAGGACTGACTCACAAATACGGCAAAGAAAACCACCATTTACATGTGCCATTACCTTTCCTTGCCGTATGATTTTCGGAGAGCTTCCTGTCATGTCAACTACAGTAGATGGATCAGCCACTCTTATACCGCCATCAACAACAAAATCAAGACCCTAAAGATAATGAATCACAGCAAGAGTTAGAACAGTTCGAAATTTTCCCTATAGCATAAAGATCCCCACCCCAGTGTAAAAAAGGAAAATCCAAATGTAAATATTGCAGATCTTATGATAAAGTAATATAATTAAAAAATGAAAAAGAAACTTTGGTTTTGTTCAAAGTGAAACAGCATGCATAAGTAAAATTCTGACGGATAAAACTTTGAATGATTCTTCATTAAAAAAATACAAAGAAAAAGAAGAAGTTGATTCTGCTTTATGATGGTTAGTTAGGTGGATGTGTCCTTGTAATTTACATCAACATCTCATTGAAGGAAAAACTAGGGCCATATGAAAAAAGGGAGTGCATTTGTTAAAACTGACCTCCAATTTCAGTCATTTAATCCAAAAAGAAAAAATTGGTTCCAGTATTTAGTATTTACATCAAGTAAAAACTTTTTTTGAAAGGTAAAATACTAAGCTTAACTGCACCAGCATTATTTGCATTATTATTTTTTTTTTTTTTAACATCACTCATTACAATATTTAAGCAATAGAAATTAACGCTCTATCCAGCTTACAGTAGACCTATATAGTTCTTTATTCTTGAAGTACAAAATCAAGCAAGCCTTCATCATATAATAAAAAACATACCTCTGGTCCATATATATCAGCTATTACAACTGGATCGACCATCCACTCGTTTTCCTTAGGCGACCTGACACTGGCACAACAAACAGATATTGTCTAAAGTCATTGGGGTGACACCCATTTCTCTACTGGCACCCACATGAAACAGAAAATGTCTTCAAAAGTGCACACGAGAACACACCCTTGTTTTTACAGCTAGCACGTGCATACCAGCACATGTATAAAACAAAACCAACCTTGTGGATATCAGCGGCGAATCCATCTTCTCTAGGATTGCTTGGCATATAGCATCATCAGGCATTCGGACACCCACATTTTTCCTTGAAGCATACTTGGCAGTTGTAGTCCCATACCGCACACACTGTTTTGGTAGTTCTTTGCTTGCAGTTAGGATGAAAGTATACTGTCGTCACATAGAAGCACCATCTTCAATCAAGTTCCAATACATAAAAAGCTCAGTAGCATTGTATACAATGTTGAGACTCCCAGAAAGATTCCAACACCACAAAAAAGGCAGCACCCAGGAACAGAGATATGATTAAAGTTGGGAGCACTAAAATCATGAAATTGGAATTTTCCTCTAAAAAATTTACTGTAGTGTCTCCTTTCACCAAGGAAAGAAATACAGGACAGTAGCACAGAAAGTTATCTTATGATTATAGTATGTGAGAAAAGCAATTGAATAGCTAGTCGTCCTTAAGTTCTGGTTATGTTCTGTGCATGTAATGATTTGGGGCCGATTTATTAGCTCAAGAATGAATCTAAGTACCTAGGTTACCTCCTATTGGCAGTAAAACAGATCAAATAAAATCCTTACAGGCCCAGGTAAGCATTGCTTAACAGCTCGAAATATATTTGCATGACCTTGACCATCACCACGTGGGAATCCAGTCGTATATGTATCTATGTCTCTCAAAGAACGGCACAAGATGCTAAGGGGCTGCATAAATGAACAGACTAATCAAAGGGCATGAACAATATAAAACATAATGCAGAAACAAAATCAGTGAGGTTGGCATGCTATGGATGCAATGAATACGAGCGAACGTGAACCAGTTAACAGCCAATCCAGTGTCATTTCAAATCCAAAGATTCTATCACAGCACATTATAGTGGTAACTGAAGAGAAGTAATGTTTCTTGCCTTGGAAGGTTCTATGTTTTTAATTCTGCAATGGAAAACATACAAAACCAATATCACCTTGACAATTCATATTGAGGAAAAAAATGTTCAAGCATAAAGCTTTAAAGTTAAGTACAACATAATCTACCTACGAAGACGTTCAATTGCTGAGTTGCTTTTCAAATCACAAACTATCGCATACCTAACAACAACAAAGAAAGTAAATCAAGAAGGATAAAAAATACGATTGATCGCATGTAACAAGTACACAGAAACAAAATTCCCAAGTAATGACATTTCGATCACTCGACTTTAATCTACTCTTACTGTAATGAAAAATGCAGGGACCGCAAAAGAATGAACATTTTACATCTCAAACTTCCCAATTCAATGGCAACAGCTTTTAAAATTCAAATTTATACCCATAAAAATATGTAATCACATTCACATAAATCCTATTACAGCTCAAAACAATGGGAAGAAAGAAAACTAAGTAACTCCATAAAGTTTGCTTCACCCACATAGCCAAAAATATCAGGTTATTCAAGATTACAAGTCCATCAAGGAACCAAAAAAAGTTCCATTATGTTCATTTAACAGTGACAGCATGCGTACACAGTATCAGTAGGAATAACACCAACAGCTCCTCGTTTCAAAAGCTCAATCACAGGTTCCAACTTCCACGTGTCAGCTCCTAATTCGTCAGCTTCCACATAAAGCAGCCCATCCTCCTAACATGACCACCATCATCATCACAACATGTCATAACATTATTTCTTAACAATTTAGCATTACCTCAAAACCCATTATTTAAACTTGAAAAACAAGAAATCCCAGAAACCAAAAAGGAAGGGATAAGTTGATATTGACCTTAGTAAAACGAGGAGCAGAGTATTTGAGTCGTTTTGGGCTTTTTTTAATAGCCATGGCTAAGACACGGAGACGAGGGGGTTTTGGGGTGTTAAAGGAAACACGGCTGGGAAAGGGAGCGACATGTCGCCGTAGTGTTGTTAAAGAGGATAGAAATGAGAGTGACGGAGTTAGTTTGTGACCGTACAGTTTTGTTTCCGCCATTTTTTTAGGGCCCTTTTAGAGGTTAGGGAAGCGGTGGTCTCTGGAAGTTTGTCTCTGTAAAAGGTAAGAAGAGACAAACGAAGCGCCAAATCATTGTAGCTTCCCAAATTAATCAAAAATGAAAAGGATTATGATCCAAAGACAGGTCGTTCAGTCATCGACAAGTAAACTACAAGTCGTTTTATCATCCCAACTAGAGCTAGTCTTTCTAAATTTTTCTTGCAACTTTATTTCTCCACAAATCTCACCAATAAGTCTAATAAATACAATGATGGAATTGTTTTAAGCAGTAAAATCGACAAGGGTAAAAATCTTTCAGCAAAATTCCTAAATGTTTTTTTAGAATAAATAGAATTTAAATCTCACAATTAATTTTGAATTCGAAGAAACAAGGAAAATAAAATAAAGAGTTAAAATTATTATCATTTTTATCATCCACAAAATCTCAAAAAAATAACAAAACATTACGTAAAAAATAAAATGAAAAGATCCAAACTTGCTAACTGGCTCCTTTTTTTTTTTTTTTTTTTTGGTTAAGGTAAAAAATATACTTTCACCATTTTTTTTTCCCCATAAACTATACTAGCAGTAGCAGGAGAAGATCATTTTGAAGTTTCGCGTGCATGAACAAGCAATACATATTAATATTAAAAACACGTTCATAATGCATATGGCAAACAACAAAAAAATAATATTCTATCTTTAAAAGATAATAAATTTTACAGCTTATTATCAGTTTACACTAGGAAAACCTCGCTAAGGTTAAAAATTATCGGAAGTATGAATGAAAGATCGCAAGTTTCCTCGACAGTCTGAACAGACCAACTCAGAGCTCTGCTGGATGTTTTTGGGTATCGAAGTGCTTATCGTGCAGGAGGAGGAGGAGAGGGAGGCATCTGGGATTTTGCAAATCCAATCCAAGCAACAATACCAACAGCAAGAATAACCCATCCGCATATATCATACTTGAGATCGCTGCTTTTCTTCTTCTTTGAACCCTGAACGAAGAGTGAAAGGGCAATCCATCAGTATGTATGTATTAAACTTCAGTAGATGCAATGAGAATCTAGAAAAAATAGGGTGACACCTCTAAAGGATCATATAATGACACTATCAAACACTCGAAAGTCGAAACCTTTCCACGCATGTTCGTATACAACCAAGAGCGCATAGATATGCCATGTTTACATGAAGAAATCAACACACCAGATTCATGGTAATTTTGCAAGCTTAAACAGACTCTTGCCATGAAATGTGCAATACCCCATAGTTTAACCAGTTTTTATTGCTGATGGAATCTAATCCAAAACTCATTAACACAAATACCTCGAGCCTTATTAGGGTAGATAAATACACAAGGGTGACTTGTAACCACACCTTCCTCCCAAACTCCAAATCAACAATGCTTGCGAAAATTTTTCCAACAATTTTAACAGATTAGATGCTTGTAGCCATATAAGCAAAACATTACAACAGCTTAAATAGTTAATTACTAGTTAGATACTCGCGTTACACTCGATCAAACAATCGTTACATACGTAGAGTTAACGATTCGTATGATACATTGTGAAAAAAAGTTTTATTTCTGATGATTAATGTAAATCAAATCTATATATTGAGAAAAATCATTTAATTTATATATATATATATATATATATATATATATATATTAACAAAAATATTTAATAATATTAACATAAAAATTTGTATTTGAATAACTTGTAGGTTCTTTTAAAACATTATCTAACTTATTTTAAAAAAAAAAAACAAATTTTAGAATATAAAAAAATATATAGTTAATTTCTAACAAAACTAATGATATATATATATACACTTAACATATTCGAGTATATAAAATAAATAGAAAAATGTAAAAAATAAATAAAAACTACAACAAAATTGATTCTGATAAATTTTGAATATATATATATAAACAAATAAAATTTGTGAATTTTTTAACTAATTATTAATTTAAAAAAAAATTAAGTAAAAATATCTAAAACATACTTGTAGCTCTCTCTCTCTCTCTCGAATTTATAAATTATAATAATATATTTTAAAAAATAAAACATTCATTTAAAAAGAATAAAAATAATTTATTGCGTAAATTACAATAATAAATTTTTAAAAAAAATAAAAAACTCGACATTCTAAAATTTTATTCAAAATTCATATATTAAAAAATCAAATTTATTAACAAATAAAATTATATCAAAAAATTAATTTGATGAGAATTTTAATAAGAAAAAAATAATTGAAGAAATAAATTTTAAATAATAAGAGTAATATAATCAAATATATATGTTTAAACTAAAATTTAAAAACAAATATCATATATATTCTATTATCTCCAAACTATACGTAAAACTAAAAAAAATAAAGATTTATTTTCTATATTTTTCACAGCTAGTGTTATATATATATATATATATGAAGAAAAAAAAAGAAGGCCAAGCTCGCGCTAGGTTAGGTTGAACAGCAACCAAGGTCCGACACGCGAGCCCGCATACTCTTAGCACTCTCTCTCTCTCGATATATATATATATATATATATATATAATCAATCAGAATTTATAAATTATAATAATATATTTTTAAAAAATAAAACACCAATGTTTTAAAATTTTATTCCAAAATTCATATATTAAAAAAATCAAATTTATTAACAAATAAAATTAGATCAAAAAATTAATTTGATGAGAATTTTAATAAGAAACAAATAATTTTAAAAAATAAGAGTAATATAACCAGATATATATGTTCAAACTAAAATCTTAAAAAAATATCATATATATTCTATCATTTTCAAATTGTACGTAAAACTAAAAAAAATAACAATTTATTTTCTATATTTTTCACACCTAATTTATATTTATATATATGCATGCCTTGGCTGCTGTTCAAAACAACCAGGCGCCACCCCGACCTCTCTTATTTTTTTTTTCTTTTTCGTTTTATTCATATATACAGCAACCAAGCGCCACCCTGACCTCCCTTCTTTTTTCTTTTTCTTTTTTGTTTTCTTCATATATAACCCTGGCCTCCCATCTTTTTTCTTTTTCTTTATGAGAGAAAAAAAAAAAAGGGAGGCCAGGGTGGCACCTGGTTGGGCTAAACAACAGCCAAGGCCGGCACGCTTGGGCCTGCAAGTGCAGGCTCGCACGCCAGGCCTTGGCTGCTGTTCACCCAAAAAAAAAAAAAAAAGAATCAAACCAAAAGGACAGCAGCCAAGGCCAGCGCGCTTGGGCCTGCAAGTGTAGGCCAACGAGCTTAGGCCTACAAGCAATAGGCCTTGGCTGCTATTAAGCCCAGAAAAACAAAAATCAAACCAAATGAACTAGGATACAGTAAATGAACAGTGGTTACTATTCAAATACTCCAGTTCTTTTAGTTTTCTTTACAAACATATTTATGCATGCCTTGGCTGCTGTTCAAAACAACCAGACACCAGCCTAGCCTTCTTTCTCTTCTTTTTTTTTTTTGTTTTTTTCTTCATATATATATATATATATATATATATGAAGAAAAAAGAAAAAAAAGAAAAAGGCCAGGCTGGCACCTAGCTGGGCTGAACAACAGCCAAAGCCAGCACGCTTGGGCCTGCGAGTGTAGGCTTGTGCGTCAGGCCTTGGCTGCTGTTCATCCAGAAAAAAAAAAAAGAATCAAACCAAAAGAACAACAGCCAAGGCCAGCCAATAGGGCCTGCCACACGCCAGGCCTTGGCTCCTGTTCAGCCCAGAAAAAAAAATCAAACCAAATGAAGTTACTGTTCAAATACCCCAATTCTTTTATTTTTCTTTACAATCTGACAACAACTAGAAAGTGAGAGGAAGAGAGACAAAACAGGCATAGTTCAGCAAAAAGGAGCAGGGAAAAAAAAAAAAAAGGGAGTTTCACCTTTGCACTTGATGAAGTAGAAGCTGCAGAAGCAGAGGCAGCTCCCATTGTCTGTTGATCTAAGCCACCATGCTTATGAATCTGTGAGTGCAACTCTGGAGCCTATGGATGCAAAAGATTCAAATGTTAGACCAATCAAAGTATACAAAATATATTGCAAAAACCAATAGACCTCAATCATGGAAAAACTACAGAAGATACTACTCCTCAATGTATCAAGGAAACATGGAAATGCAAAACACTTTGATAGGATACTCAGCATGAAATTACATTTTTCAAAAAATTACAGCTCATCGTTTGCTGGCACTAGAAGACCTTGATAGAACTCAAGCAGATCAAGGTACATATAACACACAACTCAGCAAGGCCGAATGCTTACTCAGCATGCTTAATGATGGTTCTAGATTCTTATAACCATTTCACAGCATGCTTAACGATGATTACCTTATTAATGATGGGTCATAATGGCAAACTAGTTTCAGAATATAAAAGCTTGAAAGAAGACAGGAATATATGCTTTGTTCCAATGAAAAAAACGGAACTGTCAAATTTCAAAGCATCCCAAAAACAACTTCACATCAATCTCACCAAGAACTACTAACTCTTAACATTTCGTACCATTTTGACAATGTAAGTAAATGAGGCTTGGTATAAATATGCAATACAGCCAGGGAAATGAACTCCACAACCCACTCCCAAAACAGCAAGTGAGGTTAGATTTAAAACTTCAGTTCAAGTGCTATGCAGAAACCTATCAATTTCATCAAGACACCACACTGTTAATCAGGTAGTGATGGTAGCCAACTCAAACGTAATGTTGTCCAGCAAACAACTTAGCAAATAGACCCTAATATAACAATATACAGCAATTACATCTAACATCAGGAGAAAATCCAATGACCAGATACGAGTCTCATAACAAGTAACTTATATCAGAAAAACATTAGCTAACTCATTTTTTTTTCCCATTTTTTATCATCACATTAGAGAGAGAGGGAGGGAGAGAGGTACCTTAGAAGACACTTCCAAAGACTTGCGATAAAGTTCATTATTTGGATCCTACCAAAAAGCAATATGACTCTCATCAAACATCTATAACCATTCAAATAACAGACATTCAATAAGCCAATGCCCTTGCACTGAGATTTTTCAGGAGGGAAAAATACCTCATCAACAGCTTGTTGAAAGTAGACAGCTGCTTTTTCAAAATTCCTATTAGCCTCATCTTGATCAGGTGTCAAAAATGCATATGAAGTATGTGCATTTCCCAGGTACCAAATAGCCTCATGTTTCTTGGGATTAATCAACAACACCTCCTCCAGCTTTGTAATTCCATCTGTATATTCAACACTATCACCCCATCCATAATGACACGTTTAAATATAACATTAAAAAAAACATTTTGAACAATCAGCTCATTTCATAACCAATTCCTTGTACTGAATGGGATTTAGATTCAATCATTTCTTATCAGAAATTATAGACATAGTCCCGTTTAAAGTTAATTCATACTAACATAAATAAATTAATCAGAACCTAACCTAGCATCATCTTCTTTGAATCTGGAACACTTTGAAACTGAGCCAACTCCAATAAAGCTCCTCCCCACTTCAGCAAATTCTGTCCAAAAAATCATAAAACTCGTCAATTTACAAAAATCCCAAAACCCCAACAATTCTACAAAATCAAAACTAAAAGAATAACACTCCAATTGGGTGCTTTCCAAGTTTGAAACTTTATCACTTCTCAATCACTAATAGAAATGTAAAAACAAAGAAAAAAGAGAGAGAGACCCAATAAATGAAGTAAGAAAGTGAAAATTTACATCGGCATCAAGGGGGTCTTGAGCATAAGCAGCTTCAGCTGTTTTACGAGCGTGCTCGAAGAGCAGTAACCTATCAAAGTCGTTTTGCATTTCCATGTTTCCTTCTTCTTCTACCTATCCCCACAGACAGAAAAAATAAAATAAAAGCAGAGAGAAGAGGAAACGTTTGAGGTTTTGCTGTGCGTGACGGCCCGGTAAGAGTTTGACGAGGCGTTGTTTGCCTTTTTTTCTCAGACTTGGCTTAGAGCTAACCACAAAGTAGAATGGTAGGTCTCTCACGCGCGGCCGATTATCGTGGAATTATAAAATGACATGTCGTCTTGTTTTCTCTAATCAGCCGAGTTTCCCATTTCAGACTAATGGCACAGCGAAAAGGTTTTTTATTTCAAAGTAAACAGTAATCCCCACAAAAAACGGCATCGTTCCAGCCGAAAGCAAAGCAAAATGACGCCGTTCCGATTCAATATTCATTTTAATCCTCCAATTTGTCAATGTTAATTTCAATCCACATCTATAAAAGGGCAAGAGTTCAAAAAAGTCCCTGTGTTTTTTCTCTTCGAGAAAGATGGAGCTGCTTTGAGAAATGAAGAAACGAAAAGAACATGGAAACACTAGAATCTTGTAGAGAATGAACCCGTTTCAACCTCCACCGCATAAATTTAAGTTTTTTAATTCGATTGTAGGTACGTAAGAGCTATAAATGGGTCAAAAAAATTAGATCAGTGCTACAATTTAAAGATAAAAATTAAAATTTGATTTAGTGATTTATTTGTTTAAATTAAAATTTAAGTTTTTTTTAAACATATTTTCTATTTATATGTAGTTTATTCTTAACTCTACTATAATCTTCAATGCAATGCATTTATTGTTTAGTTAGTAAGATGAGAGATCATCGGCTCTCTTAGATTCTAAGAACCGATGAAGATCCCTTATCAAATATCATTAGTTAATTAGGTTATTTTTTGACATACTTGTTATGTCGAGACTTAATTAGATCCAATACTAAATTGACAAGGCTTTCGAGTTTTAGACCTAATGCCAATTTAATATGATGTCATAATAAAAAAGTAAAAAATAATAATTTGACTTAGACAATAAACAAATTTAGAAATAGACTTAGAAAATAATTTGACAAAATTAATTCTTAGAAGATATATTTTTAGGATTAAGACAAACATAGTACCTTTTTTCTCAAAAAGATTCTTGTGGATGATTAATATTTTTTTTAAAAGCATAACTAACTTTTTACCCGCAATCTTTACATTTAGCCCCTCCTCTTGGCTTTTTGGTTCATTTAATTATTAGATTGCAACTTTAAACCTCTCGTTAACTCTTATCCCATAAACCAAATAAATAAATAAAATCAATCAACGAGCTTTTAAATTTTTTGAAAGTTCCTTAAATATTAGGGTAGCGATAATCGTGATATTGAAAAGAATTCCACAAGTATAGTCAATTATTGAAGCGAATGAGTACTAAGGGAAAGCCACGGATCGATGCCTTTAATCGGTTGCTCTTCTTCCCTCGAGCACCAAGACTACTTTATAGTTGATGTACAATTTTGTTTCGGAGGAAATCCAAGTTGACACACTCGATAAGAAATATCAATAAGAAATCAAAAATAACTATGTCAAACTTCATTGGATAAATAAAGTATTGTGTTTGATTAGTGCCTTAGTTTTCTAATTTATTGAAGAAGGAAATATTAGAAAGCTTGAAAAATTTAAAGAGAAGGATTGGAAAATTTGATAGGTGATCGAGGTTAGTTTTGTAATTTTTGTTTTTTTAATTTTTTCCACGTGAAAAATTAATTTAACATGTCATGCCACATAAAATGTTTTAAATTGATAAAATAAAAATAGTTAGAAAACTATTAGAAGGGTTGTATTAAAAAAATGATGAATAAAAAAAGAGTTTAAAAGCCACATTAAAAAATCAAAAGAGTACAATGACGTTTCATGCGATTAATTCTTAAAAAATATAATTTCATTTGGAAACTGAATTTTCGGGATAAAAATCAACTCGTAAAAAGTTAAATCAACTCCTTTTTAACTAGTTTAAGGAGTGAAATCACTTGGCTTGGTAACAAAAAGAGTGATCTAAATTCAAATTTCATTCACACTAGGGTACTAAGGTGTTGTTTGATAATCGAAATAGAGTGGTGGGAATGAAAATGAAAGTTTTATTCCCACATTGCAGCTATTTGATTAAAAGTAATGAACTGGGAACGGAAATGAAGAGTGGAAATGAAAATGAAAATTTACACATAACTTCATTCCCACATAAGAAGTGGGAATAAAAACAAGAAATGGAAATGAATTTTTTTTCAAAATAATAATATATTTTATCTATTTATTGTCTATTAACTACTTTTACCACTACCACCACCACCACCACTATCACAACAACCACCACCAACACCACCACTACCGCCGCCCCCACGACCACCATCACTATCGCCACCATTGTCATTATCATCACCACCACCTTTGTTATTTTTATAATCATTATAGTTTGATAAAATTATTTTTTTAATCATTATTTTTATTTGTATAAAAAATTAGATATTAAAAAATTTACATTGCATTCCGATTCCTCATTAGTATTCCAAACACAATATGAAAATACAAATGCCATTCCGATTCCTTAATTTTCATTCCGATTCTTGCATTCCCATTTCTATCACTCTATTCCTAATTACCAAATAGCACCTACAAGATATATATATGTGTGCGTGTGTTCTTTTTTATCACGAAAATTCTAGGGTGGAGAGCTAAACAGTCTCATCTAATCGAACGTAGAACCTTATGTTCTTTGAGTGTTATATAGCTAAAGATTTTGTCAAGTTGAATGAAAAAAAAGGTAGAATGGTCTATTTCTTTATTGATAATAGCTTCTTATATCCATCCGAGGGACAAATGTTTTTTGATATTGATACATTGTAGTTAGGAGAATATAAAAATGTCATGGTTAGCATTAGCTTATCAAGCTAATCCTAGTTGTATACTCTCATTTAATAGATATGAAATCTATCACTTTCAAGTCCCAATTAATGGAACTAGAATTGATCATCCAAGCTCGTTGTTCGGGATATGACCATTTGGTATGCTCATAAAAGAAACTTAACAGGGCATGTTTTTCTATCTATATCTCGGACGGAGTCTTGTCTTTTTAAACACTCATTCGAGTAAGGTTTATTACCCATCAAAGATTTTATGACACATGTCTTCCAAATATATCACCTAACCGAGTTTCATTGGGATCACCGACCATTGTCAAGTGAACCATTATCACAAGTGTCATGCAAGCTTTGCGTATAGACACTTTGATATATAAAGGTCGATTTTTGTAAGCTAGTATATTTCTAGCAAGCTAATTTTTCAAATACCGAATTGAATTTAATAGAGTGTGTAAGGATTTAAAACAAGATACCGTATATTATGTATAGTTTATATAAAAATTTTGAATTCACGGGGAGGAAAAATACCCAAAAAATGATTAATTTAGAAACATATCGATGCAACGTATAATGTATTGATATGACGTGATTTAGTACTAAAAAAAAAAGACATTATAAAGTCAGTAGAAAACAATTAAAAAAAAACTCAAATTTTATCATCAATTCTCTAAATGTCAAAAGGCTATTAAAACTTTTTAAATAAGGAAACTAGAAAACCCTAATAATGCTAAGTAAGAAAAATAAAATAAAATCAAAATAGAATCCTTGAACACTAATTTCCTAATAAGCATAATTAAGTACATAACAAATTTTATAAAATCTTAACAAATATAGAAAAAATACAATTAAAATAATCAAGCAAAAAAAAAAAAAAAAAATTTGCACCTCGCATCCGGCTCTTCCAATGAAGAAAAACTCAACCTTGAGTTTGCAATGAGGAATTGAACTCTTCTATACCAATAAAAGAGATACTTTGAATATAATAATTTGTTTGTGGTAGCTTTGATCCAAGATCTAGCATCTTGTTGATTGTGCACGTCAAAAAACATCCATATTTAAAATATAATTCTCTAGTTTAAGAAAGTCGACAAAACATCCTTTCTACTTAATCTTCAATGATGCTCGGATCCTTTGTTAACGAGTTACGTCCATATATGATCTCTATATTCTTTGAATTATTTTAGTTGAAAATATGTACTTTTTTGTTGTATTGATTGAGTCCATCTACTCTTTATTTTATTTTGTTTTCTTCTCCTCCATTATAATGTTATTGGTTATGAGTCGACATGACGTTGATATGGTACATCAACTCTTAAATATGTAACACATACCATACGTAGGATCCCAATAGAGATATTTGATTAAAACAATTCAACTAGTATGATGATTCAATCAAAATAATTCAAAGAGCAAATGGACCAAATTATTTATTTTTATGATACTATTTTTTAAAAAACCTCATCTTAAATGTACTAAATGTGTCATATATAAGACCTCATCACAATAAAACCTCGAAGCATTATTTTTATAAAAAAAATATTATACTAATTTAATAAATAAATAAATACATAAAATACATGAAAAAAGAAACTTAAAATTTAATTATTAAAATAAAAACATGGTGATGTGCAATATTGATTCGTAGATCCCTAATTGATGAGTCTAATTCTCAATAAAAAGTAAGAAATCTCAAATATTTGATTAATTCAAAATGAAAAATAGAATTTCTTTCTACAAAAACTTAAGACTACACCATATTTTCTCATTTGATATGGATAAGTAGCTACTAGTTAGTATTACTATTGTTTTTATTTTAATTTTGACGACATATTTAAACTCTTTTTTTAAAAAAAAATTTACATGTTAGGTTCGTTTTGTATGTGTTTTATTGTTTTAAAATTATTATAATTTTTTTTAAAAAAAATACATTTAGAATTGTTTTTTTTTTTTTTTTTAGATGGAGTCTCATATATGATAAGTTTCTTGACATTCAATGTGAGATCTTAAAAACACAACAATGTAGAATTTAAATAATAATAATTAGATCCATATACTTTTTGAATTATTTTGATTGAAGTATCATGTTTTTTTTTAATTATTTTTATTGAATCTCTCTATTGAAGTCCTACAT